TAGGAAATACCAAAGAGAATCATAGAGTTCTGAAGAGACCACAGAGGGTGGCATTCCAGGAATACTTCTGGAAGTGTAACAGTCAAAGTAAATATACTAGCTGAAATACCAATTTGGTATAATTATACTGTAAGGGGATAGATTTATCTATGGTTTGCACTGCAGCAATGTAAGAGCAGGGCACACTGTCTACTATGGGCACATTCCTTCTACATTGCTGTTTAAGTAAACCACAAAGATCCCCTCTTTGGGGTATGTACCCCATGATGTCCACACCACTGATGTGCCAGTTAGTTTCTAGAGCAGTGATGGCAAACCTTTTAGACACCGAGTGCCCAAACTGCAACCCAAAACCCACTTATGCATTATCGGGTGCCGGTGGGTGTGGCCCATTGGGTGGGCGTGGCTGCAGTGGGTGGGACTAAAAAGTTCAATCAATCAATTCCAACTTTGCAAGATTTTTTTTCCCGCGAGAAGTTGAAATTGACTGATTGATTGAACCTTTCTTTTTTTGGCACACGGTGGCGGAGGCCTAAAGCAAAAAGGTTTTATAAAACCCAGCTGAAGGCCTAGGACTGGGGTGACGGTGCGCGTGCCCTCAGAGAGGGCTCTGAGTGCCGCCTCTGGCACCCGTGCCATAGGTTCGCCACCACTGTTCTAGAGCTTTCCTTTTCTATTAATGCACAGCTGAGATGGCCAAAGTGCATACAGGTAGTCCTTGAACCACAATTGAGTCCAATATTTCTGCTGTTACACAAGACAGTTGTTCAGTGAGTTTTGCCCCATTTTATGACTTTTCTTGCCACTGTTGTTAAGTGAATCACTGCAATTGTTAAGTTAGTAATAGGGTTGTTAAGTGAGTTTGGTTTACCCATTGACTTTGCTAGTCAGAAGGTCACAAAAGATGATCACATGATCCCTGGACACTGCAACCATCATAAATATGAGCCAATTCCCAAGCATCTGAATTTCATGACATGGGGATGCAGCAATGGTTGTAAATGGGGAAAATGGTCATAAGTCACTTTTTTCAGTGCCCTTGTAACTTTGAACGGTCACTAAATGAATGGTTGTTAAGTCAATGACTATGTGTATACCTTTCTTAAAAATATATAATTTTAAAAAATAATATAAGAATATATATTATGTAATATAATTAACAATCTTGCACTGAGAAAAAAAGCAAGCTAGCTTCTTCTTCACATGCTTATACATAGATTCATCCGAGTGGAGTGCTGATAATTTAGCAGAATGCTTGCTGGAAAAAAAAAGGAAATCTTCAGTGCAAAGGTTGGATTAGAAGACCTCTAAGGTCCCTTGTAACGCTATGATTCTTTGACCTCGGAACTAGTTAAAGCAAAGAGTTCTGGTGAAGTGGGCAAAGAGCCTGTAGTAAAATGTGCAAGTGGTAACTTTTAGTCTAAGGCAAAACAGAAAGAAGCCACTACTAGATCAAAGGGGGCAGGCGCTGTCCGAAGGAAAGGCGTTTGCATTTGCAGCGGATCCCAGAAATTCGCAATTACCCCCCCCGGCCCCTCCCAGATTTATTTTGTCCTTCGCTTCGAGGCACCGGCGAACCTACCAGGAGTGCAGATCCTTCCACAGAGGAAGGAGTGAGCCGTGGACCGGCCAGGTGCGATCTGTAGCGCAGAAAACCCTTCGCGCCCGCCCGCCTCAAAAGCTTCGGTTGCTATGCTGGTCGTCAACTGCGACGTTCTAGTCTAGAGCGCCAAGCGGGCTTTGGACTGTACCATTCTCTAACCCTGGGAGGGGGAGACAAGGAGAAGAGACGGGCGGTCAGTAAAGCGCGGAACGTCTCTCTCAGCCGTGGAAAGCAGAATGGCTTTGTGTGTTCGGGTTGCGCTGCAACTCTTAGAAAAGAGTTGGAGTTGGATAATAGAGACAGCACTGCGCAATTAATGAATAGCAATTAATCAATAGCAAATTGTACCAATTGATTAATAGCAATTAATTATTTAGCCGAGGCGGCCAAGGGATTGCAAGACTTTAATTTGTATTTGGAAGAGGAAATAGGGCGGCTAGAATTAATTTTATTTTTTTTAAAATTTATTTATTTATTTTTTAAATTTATATCCCGCCCTTCTCCTTGCGGACTAATAAAGAGGGACACGGTAAATACCCTCATTCCTTTTGCCTTTATTATCTCAGCTACATATTTGTAGTTCGACTTCAAAGCCGTTACCCAAAGCTATGTCCAACAAAACATCAAATAAAAAATAAAACAGTGAAGAGTTGAGAAGTAAATGTGCCAGCACAGTCGCTGTAAAAATATGCTGATACATTTTAGGTGCTAAGACTACATATTTAAAAGGATACACACTACAGTAACCCATGTTTCGCAGTTGGTATTTTATATTGTAGAGATATGTGTGTGCCTATGTTGCTCAACTTGGTAGCAGCAAATAACTGACCTTGACTTGATCTTGAGAGCACTTGGATAGAAGACCACTAGGAAATCCCTGTAGGCTAGATTGTACTGAAACAATGTAGTAAACTGCTTCAGTACAATTTCCAAAATCCCCTTTAAGGACAAGCATGTGAAATCACTGGGATCTGAGCTTCCTTTAAAGATTTTGCCTTTTTAAAAATACAGTACAGTTCTTGTTTGCACCATGTATTAAGACATGACCTCCAACACCAGATTACCTCCTTGCCATCTTCTGATTTATTGCATTATTCTCTGTGTTAACAGTGGAGACTTATGGCATTCTAAAATCATGGCTTGCAGCTGCTCCAACTACGGTAGTAAGCCCACTGTCAAGAAATGCTGCCCATTTCCCATTCCTGCCAAGATACATCTTCCTTCCAATTGAAACAGAGCAGGTATACTTCTAGGTCTGGATTATATCTTTTGTGGAGGGGAGGCAGGATATATATGTTTAAACAAATAATTTGGAACTGTTTCAGCTTTTGAGAAAAAGGTTCCCTGTAAGTAGCAGGTTTGCAAATGTTCTGTGCTCAAAGAGACCTTGTGCTGTAAATAGTTAAGTGGCTAAGGATTTTTTATCATTTCTACAGCATTATGCTAAGATAAACTGCATTGTCTGCAATAAATACTTTACCCAGATACTAGAAACGAGCCTAGTTGAAGAAGAAACTGTGCTGCTACCTATAATATATAAACACGAAACTGCAAACTATTGCCGGCTTATTCCAAGTAAAATAGTGCCAGTTTTAACTTTTAGGATGTTTGCTTACTTTCTATTTGTCCAGCTTCACCATCCGATGCAGAGGTAAGGCTGTATTGTCTGTGGCCCCTTTTGTGCAGGGGCTTTTGAATACTGTAGAAATGTTAAACCAGTGTTGGAAGTGATTCTGTTACTGAAAGATTGCACAATCATCTATGCTACCTAACCATCTCATCCTCTGCCGCCCCCTTCTCCTTTTGCCTTCCATCTTTCCCAACATCAGGGTCTTTTCCAAGGAGTCCTCTCTTCTCATTTGGTGGCCAAAGTATTTGAGCTCCAGCTTCAATATCTGTCCTTCCAAAGAACAGTCAGGTTTGATTTCGTTTAGGGTTGACTGATTAAATCCCACGGGACTCTCAAGAGTCTTCTCCAACCCCAGAATTTGAAAGCATCAAATCCTTCAGTGTGCAGCCTTCCTTATGGTCCAATTCTCACAGCCATACATTACTACTGGGAACACCATAGCTTGGACTATATGGACCTTTGTCGGCAAGATGAAGTCTCTGCTTTTGAATGCACTGCCTAGGTTTGCCATAGCTTTCCTCCCAAGGAGCAAGCGTCTTTTAATCTCATGGTTGCAGTCATGATGTGCAGTGATCTTGTAGCCCAAGAAAATAAAATCTGTCACTGCTTCCATTTCTTCCCCTTCTATTTGCCAGGAAGTCATGGGACTGCATGCTGGTCCAACACGTTGTCCATATTTATCTTTCTTGAGCCCACCAAAATAAAACTTTCTCTTCTGTAATAAGCTCTTCCAAATCCTTCGCACCAAGTGACGTCATCCATGTACCACAAACTGTTATTGTGTTGAAGCTTTTCAACTTTTATTCCAGCTGTCATCTCTTCCCAACTCACTATACTTACAATGCATTTGCTGTGTAAGTTAAACAGAAATGGAACAATATGTGTTCTTGTCTCACTTTCTTTCCTCTTCTGAATCATTCTGTTTCTGAAAATTAACTTGTTATGATAACTTTGAGTTCTGGTACATCTACACTCTCTCCCTCCCTCCCTCTCCCTCTCCCTCTCTCCCTCATCTATCCATCCATCCATTCATCCATCCATCCATCCACATCAGTATGTTATTAAAAATAGTTATTAAAAAAATTCTTGCTGTGCATCAATGAAATTTATATCCTGTATTTCCCTTTTGTTTAGAGAATCATATTGGTATAGATGTAATTATATACTGTAGTATTCTGTCATAGCAGAATAGATAGCTTTGTATTGATGTTGCTTTCTGCCCAAGTAAGGAGGCAGAGTGCCTACTCCACCCAACAGCCATCCTATAAGATGGAGCAAACATTTTCGTCTGTCAAAGATACTCTCTGAATATCTGTGCTCCTGGGAAATGCAGTTTGCACTGGGCAAACACTAGCAGAGTGTTTCAGCCTAGCTGAATCACCCCTTGGATAAGGCTTTTCTCCTGTCAGAAATTGGTTTGTGCCGCCACTTTATTCCTTCCAGGTTCTGGAACAATTTCTGTTATTTTCCATGCCTTGACAGATTTATCTTTGGTTTGGTGAAACAAATGCAGTTGTCCCATAACCAGACTTGTTCTCTTATCCATGGGAACACAAAGGATTGATCTTTTCTCTTGACATGGGATGATAACAATGAGTAATGGAAGAAAGAGGTGGAAATATCTTGACTACTGCACAAACTGCACAAACCCTAACATTGCTTGTGACTGGAGGTGTAGCATTCAGGGACAGATATAACAGCACGGGTGCAAGATGCAGACAGCCAAGTTATCCAGGAGAGGGGGAAGAACACCTACGGTAGGAGCCCATGGAGGTAACTTTTGATCTGTGTGAGAGGAGTGAAGGGAAGAAACAAGAGCCAGCCATGTGGGGTTTTATGGTAATTATCTTCACATCTCTGGAGCTAACGGTAAGGACCGTAACTGATCAGTCGAATATTTGTATGGTAGCAAGGAAGCCAATTGTCTCTGTCCACCTACTTAAAGGGAGGAGAAAAATACGGGAGACGGAGCAGTCAGTGTGCACTTATACAGAACAAGTTCTTTAAAATTCAATGGCACTTGCTTCTGAGCCAGTATCTATGTAGGACTGTGATATAAAATGGAAGGAAAAAAAGTTATGGTCTCCCAAACCGGGATTTGAAGTTACTTAAAATGTCTTAGAACTCTTTCAGTAGGATTATAAAAAGGATGAGAATCTGCTTTAGAGACTCACCTCTGCCCTGATCAAAGATAAAGTGTATAGGTTGCATAACTCTGTCTGGTTGTGAAAGGTTCTTTGTGCTTCAGAGACCAAAACGCATAAGCACTGTGCATTATAGTGACAGAATAATCCGCTCATTACGCAGTCTGTAAAAATTTAATTTATGATAGCAATTTACTGGATTGTCAAGGAGCATATAAAGACAGTTGCGAGTCAAACATAAATATTTTATTATGTTCTGTATGATAATTTATTGTAATTGATACACTAATTTCATTCTAAAATTAAGAACTGTGCTAATGTATGTCCAATTATTTCTTGCTCCTTGTCTCGTGTTCAAATATTGCTTAGTATGGGCTAGAAAGATTGGTTTAAATTGAGGCACAAAATATAGAGATGAAACAAATAATCAAGCACATATTAAAAATATGAATAATTGTTAGACTGCGTGCAAATAATGGTATAAATAAATAGAAACTATTATGTTTCTAATAATAAAGATGAATAGGTAAACATTTATATAAAGTTTGGGTGAATTATTATTCAGTTTATAACAATTTATTGAATCGTTCATTTAGAAATGTTTCTATTCACAGGGGGTTATCACTTAAGGGAAGCTAAATAGTAAATGGAAATAAAAATGAATGGAATAAAATATTCCATTCATTTTTATAAGTTTTAAATGACATATAATTTTTTTTGCTATAATAGTATTGGATAAATAATAAGTATCAGAAGTCATCAGTGACTTTTCTGTTCAGGTATTTTGGCCACAATCAACATTACTTACAAAATCTATGACTTTTGTGACTTAATTGTGCCTTAGTCCTGCATAAGCTGCAATAAAGTTGTGATGTGGAACTGCGGTTCTAAGATGTTAATTTCCATAATTTTATCCTATTTGCAAAATGATCTCATTGACATAGTGCCACTGTGGCTTTGCTTCTTGGGAGAGCAAAATGTCGGGAACTGAAACAAGATGGCTTCTCCCGTGGAGAATCACTTTCCCTGCAGATCTCTCTGTCACACACACAAATTTTATTTGAAGTGGAACCAAGAAGAAGGAAAAAATGAAAGAAAAGAGTGTGTGCCTGTATGTATGAAAGTGTGCATACCAGTAATACAGGTAACTGTTCATTTAGTGACCATTTGAAGTTACAATGGCACTAAAATGCTGACTTATGACTGTTTTTCACACTTATGACTATGGCAACATCTCTGTGGTCACGTGATCAAAATTCAGATGCTTGGCAACTGGTTCGTATTTATGTGATCACCTTTTGTGACCTTCTGACAAGCGAAATCAATGGGGAAATCAGATTCACTTAACGACCATGTCACTATCTTAACAACTTCAATAATTTATTTAACAACGGTGGCAAGAAAGGTCATAAAATGGAGCAAAACTCACTTAACAACTGTCTTGTTTAGCAACAGAAATGTTGGGCTCAGTTGTCATAAGTCAAGAATTACCTGTACACGTGTGTGTGTGTGTGTGAGAGAGAGAGAGAGAGGGGGGGGGGCAGGCAGGCAGGCAGAGAAAGAAAAAAGATTTCCAAGTCATGTAAAATTAAATAAGAATTTTCAAAGTAATACTATACTAGTATTGTATATAAAGGTGGCTTTACATCAGTATTTTAAATTTGTTGTTAAAATCAAGTCAAGGCAGCCAATATACTAACAATTATTAATCAGAGTAGTTTTTAACCTAAGAGTGTTTATTATTATTCTCAGACAAAATCTAAAATTTTAAGGCCTTGCTTCAGACGTGATACAAGTCCCTGTGCAAAGTTATAGCTCAAATTAAATTAAATTAAATTCAGCACCACATTGGTTTTTCAATTTTAAAAAAGGGATTGCCTGGAGACATCCATACTTTGCCTCTAATGAAGCAATGTCTTGCAGCTATAGAAGAGATGTAGCAAATCTGTCCTTGTTGCATTTCTTCTGGGGAAAAAAAAGAGAAGTGGCTAATTACTCAACTCATCTCATGAAGACCCTGGAGACCTATATGATATTTTGGTAACTTTTCCTGGCGATATGTAGTACTGTAACATAAATGATTTTGGATGTACAGGTGGTCCTTGGCTTATGACCACAATTGAGCCCCCAAAATTTCTGTTCCTAAGCGAGACAGTTGTTAAGTGAGTTTTGCCCCATTTTAAGACTTTTCTTGCCACAGTTATTAAGTGAATCACGGCAGTTGTTAACTTAGTGACATGGTTGCTAAGTGAATCTGGCTTCCCCATTGACTTTGCTTGTCAGAAGGTCGCAAAAGGTGGTCCCATGACCCTGGGACACTGCAACGGTCACAAGTATGAACTAGTCGTGAAGCATCGGAATTTTGATCATGTGACCATGGGGATGCTGCAACGGTTGTAAGTGTGAAAAGCGGTCATAGGTCACTTTTTCCAGTGCCGTTCAGTGTATCTTCAAACGGTCACTAAACGAATGGTTTTAAGTCAAGGACTACCTGTGTGTCACCCTTGTGTTTGGAATGGCTCTGAAGAATGGTAACTTAGAAACCAAAACTATGTAAGAAGAAAATCGAAGCTGGCATCTGTTTTTACATTTGCGCTTACTATAGATCACAAGTTATGGGTCATTTTTATTTTTAAACCTTCGTAGTAATGCTGACTATGTGTGTGGCTTTGCACATTTCGCTAAGCCAAAATGTATTGCAGAGAGGGGAAGGGAGGACTATTGGTTTTGGCTTAACATGCAATGTAAATCCAACCAATTGCTTCTTTATTTAGTCTGATAGAAAGGTTTGTCAATATTTGATTATGCAGAAGTTCTTGAGATTTTATAGCTAAGGGTAAGAATCAATCAATGTTCCTAGAATACAGCTGTTGTGATTAGTAACTACTGTGCTTATTATGCTAGCTGGGAGTATTGGAAACTAATCCAGTATCTTGAAAACCAACCATTTCTCCAATCTTTCCTTAGGGATAGGGATCAAGGATAAGGCCTTGAGCCAATCTGCTTGTAAATATTTGTGTTACACTGATAAGAGCTTCGACATAAAATGACTGTCTAGGGCAGTTTTTCTCAAGCTTTTTACCCTTGAAGTCCCTTGAAATAATTTTCAAATCTCAGGGACCCCTTCCATGAAACTTATTATATCTACAGCACATGGTGATTAATAAACTGAGTTGTGCATAGAAATTCTCACCATTGCGAGTGCTAGCATTGAGTGGTATGCAAAATTTTAAAAGGGATGTTTGGATGTTGTTGTTTTTTAGTCATGACCTGTTGCAGAACCCAGATAGAGAAGGGCTGATCGTCCTAACTTGGTACCCTCCAAGAAGTCTTCTTTCCCAACAAATGTAGCCATGATAACTTGGGATGATAAGATGATGTCCAAAAATATTTAGAGGACAGTAGCTGAGGAAGCCCAAAGTCTTTTGCACAGTGTTCATCACATTCATCACAAGTTATGGTTTCCTCTATATTTCTCCCCCTCCCCCTCCTGTATCATACCCATAAGCAGGTGCAGCAATTGTGAGAATATCTTGTGATAAGTATGTGCTATCCATACCTACTACAAGACTTATGAGTTACTGACTGAGTGGAGCACAGCACCGTTTCATGCTTTTCCCTTTTTCAGGCAACTTATTTCACACACATTTATAAACACCACTTGGTATTTAGAATGTCAGGCTGGAAACCAATTCAAGCCCTTGAACAACTTCTGGAAGTAGTATGTGATGTTTACTTATTCTGACATGTTTATATCCTCTAAGGTGAGGGGAGAGGTCTTGCTTTATTCTTCAAAGGCAGAATACATCTTGCGTTGAAACCTATTGCCAATCCTGACTTATCTCAGGCAATTTTGGTTTACTTCTGCAAGTTGAAATAGAAGAATTTTAAGTTACCGTACTGTATTTCTTATGGTTGTGGTTATAAGGATCAAGCTTCATTCGGGCTACTGGATCTAGGCTGCAAAAATCTGGGCAATCATTAGATAACAGCAAATGAAAAGAGCCTTCTGTCTATCTTTCTTTCCAGTGAGTGATCTTTCAGATGTTATGATCCAGATCCGATACCCCTAAGTTCCACACTTGGTGCCTTGTGTTGTAGGTTTCCTTTTCCAAAATAATGCTTATCAATTTTATTCAACATCTGCCATTTAGGACAAAGAAAGAAAAGCTCCCTCTTGCATAAACATGATTCTCTCTGTGTATGACTGACAGCTTGCTTTAATGTCCATCAATATTAGGCTCTCATCACAACTGAAGTTGCTCCTCTGTCTTTGGTATAGTGATTAAAGAAACTTCCTCAAGTAGAAATCTTCCCTTTTTTTGGAGTCTTGTCATTCTTCCATCAACACGGATAAGGTTAGGCCAATTGACAGATTACAAGTAGGAAACCTATGATCTTCCAGATAGGGTTAACATATAACTCCCATCATCCCATCTGACCATATGAGAAGTTGAAGCCCTGGCTCCTATCTGGAGGTTGATATTGTTGTATATCTTCAAGATGTATCAAGCTCTCAATATTTCCTGTACATTCCTCCTCCACTCCTTGGGATTACTGGTAAGTAAATAAAATTAAACGATATTTTAAGTGAGGAGATGGATGGGAGTGGAGAAATCACCATCAAAACGCGGATGCAGTTAAAGCAAAATAAGAGTTTTTTGTTGGATACTCCTACTTTACCCTTGCTAGCACCTCTGTTCAGAAATAAAAGAAGAAAAGAAGGAACTTCTTTTGACAGGCAATTGCCTGTCAAAATTGAAAATACAGTACTGGTTTGAAGGACAAAGTAATTTTGTCTTATATAAAAATAATTTATTTTTTTGTAACTTTCCTAAATTGTTTGCAAAAACCCTGAAATGACGGCTCTCATTGATGGTAGAGGCCTCATATCTCATCCATCCAGGATTGAAGACACTCTTATGGCAAACCTGGTAGTCTTTGCTTTCTGTGGGACATATCTAATACTGCAACGTCTACCTGTACAGTTACTTAACCATAATGTTAGGCTAACCAAGTTGAAATGTTTTTGATTGAGTTATAACCATATATCTGAAAGGTCTCATAAATTAAAGCTCAAACTTAATTCCAACAAGACTTACAGCTCTTACTCAAAGGGATCATTCAGCTGCATGAGCAGAAGGTCTTCCTAATGTATAACTGATGGGTTGTTGCATGCCCTAAAAGGAATTCTCTAGAAATTAAATTCTGATATGTGCAGTAGCCTTTGTAAGTCCTTGACAGAGAAATTGCACCTGTTTGATGTGCTGAACATCCTATGCTTTCCCCCTTGTGTCTACAGTTGCTCTTTGTGAACCAATTCTTCTTTCCCTTCAATTTTTGGATAGCTATCTAGTTGGACATATCCCCATCCAGGTAGAGAGGGGAATAGATGGATTAAGAAATCCAATCTAAAAGGCAACCATTTTACTGTAGCATAAATTGGCATGTGAGTTAGAATTTCAAAGGTATTTTAAGTAAAGGAATAGAAATCTGTATGAAGAATGGCAGCATTCAGCAATCCTTTGCAGGAGGTAACATGTCAAGATAAACTATGTTATCATCAATTCTGAGGTATTCATTGTATAAAACTTTTTAATTTATATACATAATCGATTTTAATAGAAGAAGTTGACTCAGGGCCCAATAATGGTGATGCTAACTTTTTTTTTTTAATGTGTGAAAGTAGATTAATCCAGCTACACTCATAGAAATAGGTATTTCTTGTGCACTAGGCATGATTGATGTAAATCAGGTTTGCATAAACTGACCTGCAAAGCCAAGTATACTTTACCACCATACAAGGCAGTCGCCAAGAATGTTGTAAATCTCTTGGGACTGCTTGTTTGGAATTGCAAAAGGTTGCCCAGGATCTCCCTACTAGCAACACACAACATTTAGACTGAATTGCACCAGTAGTGCTTGAGTTGTATAGGCATAGAGACATGGGGCACTTTCAGTATTCCATGCATCCAGGCAAGACACGGTAACTAAATTGTAATTGCATTCGCAAACCGCAAACTAGCCAACCACATTTTAATTTAACATATTGTACAAACCCAGACTTAATAAATTAGGAAACCCCAAAAAACAGAGCTGATGAGTAAATTATTTTCAATTTAGATTATATTGTCACTATTTGTGTTAAGCAAAAAAGGCTGGAATAATACAAAGAGGTATTGATAGTGAATGGAATGGGGACAACTATCACAGGAGACTCGCAAGAGGATACAAGGGGGTGTGTGTGATAAAAATTCTCATTGTGAGTCACAACATAAAGCCCATGGCTTAAGCATTTGCATCATGATATAAGAATGCATCGTTCGTTATTTTTCTGCCTTCCCAGTTAGAGGTATATGTTTATGACAATCATGATAGAATAACCGCATGATGGTTTTGATTGATTGTGCTATAAGCCTCATCTGGAATTATGTGATTCATTGACTGGAATTAGGTGTAATGTGAAACAACTTAAGAAAAACATTTTTTAAAAAATATGATCTATATATATTGGAGTTTAGCTGACCATTTTGCCCTTAAGTTGGAATACCCTTTTCAGAAGGGTATTTCAATTTTTCGGAGAGGAGGAAAACAGCTATGTCTTCTAGAATGCTTCCCCGCTCTTGCAAACAAATCCCAGGATTAAATTCTAATGAGTTTGGGCTTTAGTTGAGTTCAGAAGACAAATAAGCCACTGTGTTATTTTAAAATGTTCTAATTATAACCATATAAAAAAGGACCTAGCTGCTATGTTTGATAATCAGCGTAACAAAAAAAGTGATAAAATGATACTTTTTAATACAGCAGATTGGAGCTTTCATTTCATCATGTGAAATCAAAAAAATCATGAGGATGGAAAAAGAACTCTGCACCTCGGCCCTTGCCCAGGAAGAAGCAAACAGAACAGCTGGAAATGAATTACTCAGGAGTTCAGGTACTGTATGTCTCAGCATATGAGTTGGGGCCATCTAGATCAGAGGTCTCCAAACCTCGCAATTTTAAGACTTGGGGACTTCAACTCCCAGAATTCCTCAGTCAGCCATGGGGATTGAAATCCACACAGTTTACACTTGCTGAGATTGAGAAATACTAGTTTAAACTATTTGAAATTTAGCAAGAGAAATTTGGATCACCTAAAATTGCAGAATGGCAGTATGTTCAGTTAACACGTCTTGTATACATCTTGTTGTTCAGGAATTCTGTTGCTTCTAACTTTTTGGGACTCACTGGGACACTATAAGGATTGTCTCTCAGTATTCTTGTAAACTCATGCTTGCATTGTCAGTATTGGCTTTTAGCCACCTTGTCTTCTGTTGGTATTTTTCTAATTACTATTGATTTTTCCAAGCATTGAGGTCCTTTCCAAGATTCCTACCTTCCCACAATGCACCCAAAATATTTAAGCTTTGGCTTTTTTTATTAGTGCTTCTAATGAGCAGGCTGGTTCTACTTCATCTCGTATGGAATAATTCAATCTTGCAGTCCAAGGGTTTCATGTTTCATGTAGAGTAAATAAATACAAGCCATCATTATGCAGAAGCCATCTTGTGTGTGTGTGTGTGTGTGTGTGAGAGAGAGAGAGGGAGGGAGGGAGGGAGGGAGAGGGAGAATACAACAGGAAAAGGAAGTGCATCATAGGAACAAAAGAATCACAGAGTTGCATGTGATACATACAGGAAATATATACAATAGAAATGAATGATAGAGCTGCATATGAGGTAAACATAACACCTGTAACATCTTCCCCTTTTCATGTTAACCAAACAACACTGTGAAATTTTGGATGAGAACCAGTAACAACACTTCCTATAGGTTAAGTCTGTTGGATGGTCGGGGACGTCTGCCACTACAGGACAGGCTCTCTTTGTACTAAGGGTTTCTTCGATCTCGCTGAGGTTACTGGGCTCTTCTCACCACTTACTGGGACATTTTGCATTTGACTGCTGTCAGGGATACTGGCTTGATCAGGACTGTCATTAGCATTGGTCTGTGGCATCAACACAGTGCATTCCCTATTGCCAGTGGGTAAGTGAATCCAATCCCAGTTCTGACACCATGTTTCATGTGGAGTAAATCAATACAATACAAGCCATCACTGTGCAGAAGCCATCTTCTTAGAAAGAGAGACTACAACAGGAACAGTTAATGCATCACAGGAACAATAGAGATGAATCATAGAGCAGCAATGTGACACAGGAAACAAATACAATAGAGATGAATGATAGAGCTGCAGATAAGGTGAACATAACACCCTAACACAGTGATGGAGAACCTTTTAGAGACCGAGTGCCCAAACTGCAACCCAAAACCCACCTATGCATCGTCGGGTGCTGGGTGGATGTGGCCCATTGGCTGGGTGTGACCCATTGGAGGGGGTGTGGCCCATTGGGTGGGCGTGGCTGCAGTGGTAATGGCAGACTGGGTGGGACTAAAAAGTTCAATCAATCAATTCCAACTTTGCAAGATTTTTTTTCCCCGCGAGAAGTTAAAATTGACTGATTGAACTTTTTTTTTTTTGCACACGGCAGCGGAGGCCTAAAACGAAAAGGTTTTATAAAACCCAGCTGAAGGCCTAGGACTGGGGCTATGGCGCGCGTGCCCACAGAGAGGGCTCTGAGTGCTGCCTCTGGCACCTGTGCCATAGGTTCGCCACCACTGCCCTAACAGTACTTTCAGCAGTTTTCTCCAAAACCATAATTCAAAGGCCAATATTTTTCCTTTGTTCAGTCCAGTTTTCATTTACAATGGGAAATCCCTGGCTTTGACAATATGTATCTTATTTATCAGCATAACATCTCTACACATTAAAATTTTGCCTAGACTTTCTTCCGAGAATTAAAATTTCTTTATTTTATAGCTATAGTCACCATCTCTTGGTGAATTTATGAGACTATAAGATAAACTTTTACTACTTAACTTTTTCTCTACTAGTTAGCTGTTAACTTATGTTGCAAATTTAGAAATGGCGATTTAATCCACAGTTCTTCTCTTTCTTTTTATCTATTTTTTCTTTCTAATAAAAAAATCTGGAAGTGGAGGATTATAAGAAAGGAAGAAGGAAAGATCAGAATAATCCCATATAAGGAATAGAAGATTAATTAAGGGGGAACAAAATGCTAATTTGCAATTAGTTCTGTAGCTATACCGATCAGGGAAGAATATCCCGTAGAGAAGCTGGAAGATTAAACTGTTAATTAATGTCACATTAGGATCCTCTCTTTCTTTCTCTGTCTCTCTGACTCTGTGTTTGTCTCTGCCTTTATGTGTGTGTATGTGTGCACACACACATATATATATACATACATACATACATACATATACTGTCTTTGTGCAGATGTCTATTCAAACTAAGGATATTGTATAACTTGAGTAAGCTACTGTTCAGCTAATTTATGATTTATTTATGGTTCAGCAGGTCCTGTGAATCCAGATAATCATGGTGTGTAGTATAGTTCTAGCCTAAATTTCTGATATCTACACTTCCTGTAGTAGCAGGGATTTATAGGATATCATTTTCAAATCACATTTTCTTACCACTCCAGGACGGGCTCTCCATGTGGCAATTTGTGCATGGAGGAACAAGAGTTGAGATTAACTTTTAAAACTTGAACTTTTCCTGTTGGGAATAACCACGGAGAAATACAATAAGGGAACAATCTATTTGCTGTTACATGTCTTGACTGCAGCCAGGCTTGCGTTCGCGCAAAAATGGAAGAGCAAAGAAACTCCCACAGAGGAAGAGACACTATATAAAATATTACAATGTGCGGAAATGGACAGGCTCACAATGGTATTGAAAGACAAAGGTAGATCAGTTTATTTTGAAACCTGGGAAAAATTTTACCACTGGAAGGATTCGAGGGGGACGGTTGGGATTATAGGCCAGCGTTAAGATAGAAATATATGTAATTTTAGAATAAGTATTGTATATAAAATTTAGATGTATATTCAGAGATGAAGAACCGATTGTAAAATGTGGAATAATTTGATAAGAATGTATATACTGGAATGTCACGTTATATCCAATGTTTTTTTTAATTGTATTATAAATAAAATTTTGTAAAAAAAAAAAAAAGAGTTGAGATTAACTTTCAAAAATCAATATTGGGAATAGCCTGTTTGCCAAAATCCTACTCTAATTTGCTGATTATCTCTAAAACCTTCCTCTGATACCACAATTTTTGAACTATCATAGTAACCATATTGGATACCAGAAAATGAATATTTAAATATTATGACCACTTTGCTATTTTGAACGATGGAAAGCACACTGCCCAGCTCCCTCAAGGGAGCGACAGTACCAAAAGAGTTAGTATATAATTAAACCTTGTGTAAAAAGAGTAGTCTGTTTGGTGGATTTATGTCCCATTTTATGATCCTGGCATCATACGAGTTAAGATTAAGTAAGCTTAAATATTTGGGAGGATTAGCAAAGAGATTTCTGGAACAATGGTTGATTGAATACTAATATGAATGTGCTTCTTCCTGGTTTTAATTAATTAGGTTTCATTGAGCTAGTCAGCCCTTGTCTAAACAAAAGAATGACCTTGCATACCTTTGTAGTCAGCACTGTGAATTCAGAAATATCTGTCCAACTTGTATCTGCTTGTGTAGAGTATATTTTTGCTCCTTGCCCTCCCATAATAATCTCACACAGCTCTGAACACCAAAGTAAAGGTAGACCTTTAGTAGAAGATAAGAAGACCAATTCACCTCTCTCCCCCTTCTTAGCACACTCGGCAATCCATTAATACATGCTCCTGGGATGGCATGATTTGTGAGTACTGGCATTAGTTAATGGACGTTGGTAGACTGCCAAACCCTGCGCTGTTTGGGTTATATATGATGCAGCCCTAGCTGATCGAAATTACAGCAAGTACATTGTGAGACGCAGGGTAAACAGGAGGAACTCTTTAATATAGTTTTATAAGCTGTAAAATACTTGTGGCATCAGAAAGAAGGAGGATAAAGGGCATGGTGTGTGGCTAGTGCTTACTTCTACTCTACTCCACAGAGATAGATTTACCAATAAAGGAGAATATATGTAACTCAGGGTTGAAATGAGGGGCCCTTGATGCTCTCTGAGCTTGGTTGATTTCTTGCAGATGTTTCATTACCCAACTAGGTAACATCATCAGTGCTAGAGGTTGATTTCCCATCCGTTGGTTGATGCAGGCACAGCCTCTGGATTGTGATAGGGTTTTTTTCCCCTCCCCTCTGTGGGATTCATTTACTATTTTGATGTGTTTTTGTTCTTGTACCTTAGGCAGATGCCTTGGCATGTGGGATAATCTTACTTGTTGGCTGTCTTCTCCCATCGGACAAACTGTTAGTGCACCCTGTCCCCGAGCCTTTCAAATAGTCACAGGACAAACAGGTAACATGAAAACCATGATTTAATGGTCAAACACGTTTTCAGAGGATCTGGGAGTTGTCTTAGGCTTTTGGAGCTGAAGGAGTTAGGCTACTTTTCCAACTGTATTAGACTGACTTCTGTTCCTATATGAAGAATGTTGTCTGTTTTTCATCCAGGGTCCAGGACACCATAATTGCTCATTTTGGGCACCAAAACACTGCAGGTTGAACTCTGAGGGCTGCATTAAAAAAAAAAACAGTAAGAGGTCCAAGAATTTGCTTCTTTGCTTGTTCATTTCTTACAAGACTCAAAATGACTCTTGGTAGTTTTCTAGGCCAGGGGTCCCCAACCCTAAGTCCATGGACTACTACTGGTCCGCGGCCCTTTGGAAACCGGTCTGTGCAAGCAGCAGGCAAGGGCGCAAACCTCCATTTGTGCATGTGCGAGATTAGGTTGTGTGTGTGAAACCATCCCCCCCTCCCCCCACTGCTGCTACTGGTCCATGGAGCCAGAAAGGTTGGGGACCGCTGGCCTAGACAGTTACATTGATGAAGATAAACTCATCAATGTGTATTAACCATGATGGTTAGGAGGAATAACTTATTCCAGTTGATGAAGAGCTACATTGGAGGGCAGCTGTGGCCTTCATATCATGATTCCCAGAAGGACAGCATGAAGAAATGCTTTCCCAGAAGAATTTACTGGGGCCACCCTGAGAAAAAGGATCCTTGAGTCTGTTGAGTGGGGCTTGCTTGATGTTCTTATGAAATGAACAAAAAGTTCACATATTGCTCACATAATGCATTGTAGAAACGTAGTTAATAATGATCTATTCAAGAAAACATTAATTAGTATGCTCTCAGAGATATTGGGTATCATTTCCTGGTGACTCAGGAAATGATAACATGTGCATGGTGGCATCACAATGCAAACCTGGCCCTTTTATATTTGTGTCCCATGACACATATTTTGTCATTTGCCTCTTGTTTACCCTATCTCCCTTTCCCCAGCTCCCATGCATGATATATTAATCTACTTGGGATCACAACACAGTTGCAAACATTCTGGGTGGTCTTATGTGTATATTTGTTTTAGCCCTGGCTTCCTATCTAATAAAATAAAATAAAATAGATTATTTTTAAGAAAATAATTTCCTCTTAGGCCAGCACTGGAAATGGGAAGTAATGCTAGACCTTTTCATCATATTACGATCACTATTTGCTTTAATTTAACAATAAAATCAAATAATTTTGATTGTATATTGAAAACTACATTTTCCTCTTATTTATAGTCCAGTACTTAATTGTGGGCTTTTCCTGTTCTTGTTGTTGCAATGCAGGGCTTATGTATCGTAATTGCACCAAGGAAGGCTGGTCAGAAAAATATCCCAAACCATATATTGCTTGTGGCTTAAATGCCAAACAACTTAACGCCCCTATAACTGAGTGGGAATCTAAGGTGAGTTCGTCTCTTCAGCTATAATATTTCTGCACATGATAGAAAATCCTTTACTGTATGCAAGCTCAAAAGTTGGTCTAATATTTGGCCCTTGTGTAGACCACTACCAACAAAAAAAGGGGGGTGTTAAAAAGTATTTTCTGAATGTGTAAAAGCACATTCATATTTTGCAGGTGCATAAATTAGCTATGAATATGTGAAATTTGACATGTACATATACTGAAGTCTGGTCACTATTTAGCAATCACAGAAGTGTGAAAGTCCACATAATAAGAAAATCCACCTGTCTCCATGTCAGTGATATCACTTATAGCCACGGATGCAGAATTGCTGTTTCAAGGCAACAAATTCTACTTCAGAAAAAGATAGTATTGCTACTTCAGGATAGTCTGGGCTATATTGGAGGGATATTCTTGGCTCTACCAGCTTCCCATCTTCTCATAGCAATAGCAATAGTAACAGCACTTAGATTTATATGCTACCCTATAGTGCTTTACAGCAATCTCTAGGCAGTTTACAATATCAGCATCTCGCCCCCAACAATTTGGGTCCTTGAAAGGATGGAAGGCTGAGTCAACCTTGAGCCCCATCAAGATCGAACTCCCGGCCTGTGGGCAGAGTTTGCCTGCAATACTGTATTCTAACCACTGCGCCACCAAGGCTCATAAAGATCTGAGATTTCAGCATCATGCTGGCATGATTGGAAGAACTCCAAATGCGGAATTATTATCACATTGGCATTGGGAATGGTGAAGGCCACAAGGATTGCCAACATGGCATACACAGACTTCTGTTCTGTTTGAGTAGCACAGGCCTGAAAAGAGAGGGAGGGTGTAGGCAGTCAGTGATTGGCTGTCAGGTGACCCCTGATTGGCTGACAGTTCTTTCTGCTCAACTATTGGACAAAAGAGCAAACAGTAATTGATGGGAGATTGGCTGTGAACTCTATACTGCCTTGCACCTAATATTCTGCATAGGTCTGAAAATAGTTTAAAGTCATCTCACTCACTAGGTGCATTTTAAACTGGATTCAGAAGGATTGATATATCAGAAAGGCTACTTGGCTGGAAGTGTCCTATATCTCTGAAATAGTTTTTTGCTGATACAATTGCACCCATTTGTTTCATCTGACCTCACGGAACTGGATTTTCTCTTGGTGCACTGAAGGACTAGATTCAATGAAACACATTGAAGGATAAATAGAGTGCCAACCTGGCTGATTCAGGTTTAAATCCACCCACTTAGGAACCAGTAGGGACACTCATAAATCTGTGGTATCGACAAATGTTGAGCTTCCCTAAACCTACATGTTTGAAACATGGATGTGCAAATGGATAGGCAGGTCACACAAGGAGGGTAGGAATACATATTATCTTTTTTGGCTGGTTAGCCGATTATGCTCTTTGAAGGAGGAATTGGATCAAGCCTTTGTTTTTGACACTCTACTTAATTACAGAATTGATTATTACAGCAGCTTCCATGAGGGGCTGTCCTGGCAGACTGCCTGAAAATGTAACTTACTTGAGTATGCTGCCAACAGACTTAGATCAGAAGGTGCAATATGCAATGATGTTGTCATCATTTGTTTCCTTGCCCACTTTTAAGCAGGCACCAGAGAGTTTTTATTTTTGCAGTCATTTAATGGGCTCTTTTATTCTCAAGGGTTGTGCTTTATGAGGCTGTTTTTATTTTGCAATTTAGTTCTTTTGTAATTGTTGTGCACAGGCACTAAGCATTTTATATTCTGTTTAAATGGATATAGAAAGGTGAGATATAAAAGCCAAAGTACAAACAAAGGCAGACATTTTATTGTCATTACAGAAAATGTATTTTTGGGGTTACTTTCATCTTTATTCTACAAGTGCTTATTTGTTCTGCTTGGTTACTTGGATTCACAGACAAGAGAGCTGCTACATGTAAGAAAAATAACTGTAAATAGCAACACCTAGTGATCCAATTTAGTACTGTCCAATTCAATAGCCTCTTTAATACATGTTCTTCCAAAATGTTGGAATAGCAGAATGATGTATCTGTTGTATTAAGTAAATTAGGTGTTGCCTTTGAGGGTCATGTGAACAAGGCAACTCAACATGCCTCAGATCATTGATTCCTACTGCAGTCACATAAGTACTCATGAAGATCACCCATGCTGCTAGACCATGATTACTCATGGTCTGTCAAAAAAGCCATAGTGACTGAATTTACACATAACTCTAAATTGTAAATCTTGGCCCTCCAACCATAATAGCCATCCCCACACATTAAAATGAGCCACAAATAAACTACATTCTGGTCTAATGTAATATTGTAAGTCCCACTTCTGATTTAAATATGCTAACGGTGATTGCACACCTGGCTGAGGATATTTCTTTGTTTTGTTTCTTCCATGTTTTCAATCAAACTGAGTTCTACCAAAGAAATAACTGGGATTTGCAGAGAAAGTCAGTTGCCTCAAATCATGATGGTACTAAGTTTATTGCAAATAAAAGATGCGTTCCTACGATATTATTTTTTAACGCAACATTGAAGGGCTTCTTGTACGAACACAACTCCTACCTGAAAAAAAAATATCCTTGGATGTCTTCTTACAGGTATCTTATCTAATGAAATTGGAGACCGTGTACACTATTGGAAGCAGCATTTCCCTCATAGCTCTGACAGCAGCCTTGAGCATCTTAGCTTCTTTTCGGTGAGAAAGAATTATCCACACGTTTCTTAGTCTTTCCTTAGTTTATCTTGTAATGACCCACATGAAGATGTCTGGGTGTATTAAATGATGTAAAACACTGAGATATTTTGAATCCTGTTCCATTCATTGGTGGGGTTGGGAGTGGAGAAATTATGATAATCATAGATCTGACAATACTTTTCCATGATATGTTCAAAATGTACCACCATACTACTTCATCTGCTTTTACTTGATCGTATGATACTGCATTTAATTTGTCAAGTAGATTTTTTTATTTTTATACTGTGTTTCCCTGGGAGACACTGTGCAAGAAATTAACATAATTTACAGTTATCAGTTTTACCATACAGAAGCCCAACTAGGTTGCAGGACGTAGCAAAACTCATATGATCTCAAAAAAGCAAAACAGGGTTGAGATTCAATGAGTGCTTGGCTGTGAGACTACCAGAAAATTCCAGGGCTTTAGGCTAAACTGGGAAATTGATTAAAGAGAAAAAAAACATCCTGAAAGTAGGCAATGGCAAACCACTTCAGCCAGGAAACCTATATGTATGTGTCCGGGAACTCACCCAAGTTGAGCTGAACTCACTTGAGTTTTGCCCTCAGGAATGAGCCATCTGATAAATCCATAAATTTATTTATTTAATTAGGTAGATTTATATGGCTGCCTGACTCACACACAGTGACTCTAGGACAGCGGTTCTCAACCTATGGGTCGCGACCCCATTTGGGGTCGATCGACCATTTCACGGGGGTCACCAAGCAAGGCTGTCCGCCATTTTTTTTCCCTTTTTCGGCGGGTGCCTTACCTCCCTTGAGCTGGGCCAGCTGGTGGTCAGCCTGCTCCATCTCTGCCGCTTGCCAGCTACACCTCAGCCGGCCCAGGAGGCGGAACCACGCATGCACGGCGCTCCCGGGCAGGGAAAGTCCTCGACTTATGACCGGTTGGGTAGTCCTCGACGTACGACCGGTTTAGTCCTCGACCTACGACCGGTTGGGGGTCGCGGCATTAAAAAGGTTGAGAACCACTGCTCTAGGAGGTGTCCAGCATTGAAGAAAATCGACATTTTTAATTTAATCAGCAGGTCAATTGAATGTTTAATCAACATTAAATATTAACCTAGAGTGGCAATGTGCTCTTCTTTGCATATAATTGGATTCTAGGCAATACAGGCAAGAAGCATGGAAAGACGTCTAGCTGAGATCTTGGAAAGCCTGCTGCAGATTAAAGCAAATGATTCCAAGCAGTTTCAACAACAGTAATGATCTCTCTTCCCTAAATCTTGACATGGCTGATGAGAATACCTGTTTTGAATCCTGCATAATGCCTTGTTTTCCCCTTTTGAATAGGAAACTCCGCTGTACAAGGAATTACATCCATATACAGCTTTTTGCTTCTTTCATCTTAAGGGTGACTGCAAACTTTATCAAGGATCCTATACTGTCAGAGGACACGGATGATGCTGTGTACTGTGAATTACACACAGTAAGGAAGTAGAAATATATACAGCTACCCAGTTCAATAAAGCATCAAAAAGCTAATTAAGAATGAAAATGAAAAAAAAATAGCTTTTATCGCTTTTAAACTCAGAGAAAGCATATTGCAAAATTGCTTATTCTGGTACCTTTGTCTTGTTTAAATAAGTTGCTAGCTTTTAAAGTGGCACAAATTGTGTTTAATTTGCCTTTGATTTTGTGACAGCAACAACTTGATTAAAATGATCAGCATAGTTTAATTAGCTATATAAGCTCAGAGCAGTAATATAGGGCAAATGTATTTGTATACAATTTTGATTAATTCATCGTTAATATAAGACTGAAGAAAATGACATCTGTCCATCTAGAAAAGCTAAGGTAGCAAGATCTAATAGTACTTGCTAAGGTCTGTTCCCTGCAAGAGATCAGATATTTGGTCTAGCAATCTTGATTAACTTTAGAAGAAACCGAAGTAGAAGCAATTTTACTGCTCAAGGGATTCTGGGATTGTTGCCTGAGTGAAAATGCTACCCTAGCCTCTGTAAAAATAAAAATCCCATGTTAAGGGCTGTTAGGAAAGGAACTGAAAAGGATGTAATATTCATCCAGTATGAGGACATCTGGAACACACTGGTGGTGATTTTCATATTTCAGCAGAATTATGACTTGCTTTTATGTTTCTGCTACGACAACAGAATGTCACGGTGTAGGTCAGGGGTGTCAAACTGCCGGCTTGCGGGCCGGATGCATCATAGCGAAACCATGTCCACCCCATTGCCAGCAATGGCAAAAAAGTCACAATACATCACGACACGTCACGTGACGTTGCCAGTTTGATACCCCTGGTGTAGGTGGTCGAATCTAGCATGGTTCTTCTAAGGCAGGGATGTCAAACTGCCGGCCCGCAGGCCGGATGCATCACGCGGAAGCCCCAGCCACCCCAGCTCCAGCAAGGGGGAAAAAAATCATGACACGTGACATGGCGAGTTTGACACCCCTGTTCTAAAGTATTGAAACCAAGGAACTAATAGACCACTGATAAATAAGGCGCAGTGGGGCAAAGGTTCTCTGGAAAGGAGATAAAAATAAAAAAAATAAAAAATAAAACACACCTTGTTCATAATGTTTCTTGTTTCTCCTTTAGGGCAGGTGCAAGATGATCATAGCCTTTGTTAACTTCTGCATCATGGCAAATTATAGTTGGCTTCTTGTAGAAGGGCTTTATCTCCACAGCCTGCTGGCCATTTCTTTCTTCTCCGACAGAAAGTTCTTCTGGTGGTTTGTGGCTCTGGGATGGGGTAAGCATCTACTTAGTTAGCAGACAGACATGTTGTCTGGGGATGTTCAGTGGCCTATTGCAGACCCTCAACTTACTCCCCTTGCCTCTTCCCCAAGTTGCCTTTGGATCGCTTTTTTTCTTCCTTGTTTTGCCTCCTTTGGTTTGTTCCTCTTCTTCTCCTCCTCTTTGCTTTTCTTTGTCCTGGGCTTTTCCTGTCTTCCATCTCTTTTCCTGTGCTTGGGAGGGCAAACGAGGTTTATGCCGGAGCTCCTGCCACTGACCTAACTGAATATGAACCTGCAAACAGGTGTACCATTCCCTCCAAATATGGCGCTGTGCAGGAATGTTGGATTGAAATTCCTCTCCCCTCCACTCAGCCCCTTTAGTCTTTGTGCAATACTCAGCTGTGAAAAGCAAGGGGGTTGTCTTAATGGGTAAAGACATTTTGAAAGTTTGCACATTTCTGTGCGCTTCAGCCTTCTGTTAGGTGTGTTGGGTCCATCCTTTTATTTTTAGGCAGATCCATTTTTCCTTTTCATAAAGTTGTTAGGGTTTGTTATTATTATTCAAAATGTTCAGCTAACCTAATCCAGCTTTTCTTCTATGTTATGAGTAGGCACTAACCGCAAAATTGTTTCCTCTGCTGCAGGTGCTCCTAAGTTATTCGTAATTGCATGGGTCATAGCCAGACTATTACATGAAAATGCTGGGTAAGCACATTTTCCAAACTCAGCAGTCTGTTTTCAATTCACGCTAAGGCAGGGTTGGTTCCAACTGTGATTTAACTGAATAAAGCAGAATACTGAAGTATCACAAGTGTGCAAAATGTGCCATCACAAAATGTTCTGATCCTGAAAGAAACTGCTCTTGAATATTCTGGAAGTGATCTATCCTCAAAATAAGCCTTGTTTTGAATTTTTCCAGAACAGCTTCTGGATCACTCCTGGAATATTTGAAACCATATATTTCATGGTGCCTAGAATTGGCTTCAAGGTTTGAATGTTTTTCAGCAGAACTCTTTTTAAAGTGATAAAATGGCAGGGTTCATGTTGGTTGGCCAAAACTAAACAAATCACATATTACGGCTTAGGGCGAACACAGCACATTATGTATTAATGTTGTCTCATCACTCCACAGAATGAGTATTAATTGGTTTAAAATCTATTTTTGTGTGTGTGTGTGAAGTGCTCAGAGATTCTGAGAAAAGAAATTCTGCAATTAGGTTAGAGTGATGAGCCTTTAATAAAAAGCCAGCTCTTATATTCCATTTCCTGAGTATCAAATCTGCTTCTCTCTGACGGGCTCTGAGCAAGGCAGTTTGATAATTATTGTGGAAACAAACAGGAGTGGTTTGTAAGATAGAGGACAAGTAGCACTACCAAGCATGGCCCTTGCACAGTTATGCCGGACTGTCCTTTTAAACATACTTTTGTAGAAAGGAGTGGGAATTTTGTAGAAATGCAGTGGTAATATACAGAAAGAAAGAAAGAGAGAGAGAGAGAGAGAGAGAGAGAGAGAGAGAGAGAGGGAGGGAGGGAGAGGGCTTCTAAATGTTCCATGGTTGGACAGGGCAATTGCATATTTATTTTATTTATTATGAAATGTATATGCTGTCCACCTCACAGTTCAAGGCAACTGTGCACAGCTTACAATTAGTCTACATTTGTCTAAATGCCTAGAACTCTCATTTAAGAATTCACCTTCTACAAAAAGAGTGTTCCTGTTGCTCTTTATGATGGATAATGTTCCAGTTAATCTGGTTTCAAAGTATTTTCATATCTGTTGAATAGATATCACAGGGAGATATCTTTTCTGCTGCTAGCTACTTGTCCTGTAACTCACTTTTATTAATGAAGTAAAATAACAAGGTTATTTAGTGCTAGTGATCCTATCTTCTGTTCGGATGAATCTGGCTTCCCAGGAACAAACAGTGTGCAGTGAAACATAGGCTGTTTGGCTCCATTTGGATCCTTCTGCTGGGGTAAACAAATTCAACATTATTTAGCATTTCGTGAGAAGCTGAGATCCTGTCTTCTTGCTACCAAACAAATCAACCCAGATTTTTAACTTGGGTTTTAGAGAAAGCAATACACTAAATTATAGCATGGCACATATTTTGGATTGACAATATGCAGCATAATTTGGCAACATATTCAATGGGTTATTTAGCTACCTGGGCTAACAGGAGACCTCAGCTGAATCAACAGACTATACAGAGTTCACTATACAGAGAACTATTCTGTGGGAAGATGACGTTTTCAGGAGTTTTCTGCATTATAATTACAGGTTTAGCAGTTATTATTTGCATTTCTTAGGATGATAAAATGCGAATACAGATATTTTTTTTAAAAAAAATCCTAGCTATTTTATTCTCTTTTAGCAAAAATGGCAGTTCCCTTAAAACATGATTTATACATTTACTTTGTGCCTTCAAGTCAGTGCAGACTCCAGGCAATTACTTGGACAAGTCCCTACAATTTTCTTGGCAAGGTTTTTCAGAAATGATTTGCCTTTTGCCTCTTTCCTAGGGTTGTGAGAGAGGGACTGGCCCACGTTGGCCCAGCTGGCTTTGTGCCTAAAAAGTGTGAGACAAGAAGTCATTGTTTTCCACCAGATGCCTTAACTGCTACACTAAACTGCCTCTTAAAATATGATCACTGTACTGCAATGCACGCCATTAAGCTTTTGGACTTTGAGAATTTTCCATCCAACAGGGCGAGGTTTGCAATGCTCAGATTCAAAGGGGACTGCTGTCCAGCATTAGATTCAGTAATTAGGAAATGAATCGAACGTAGCAAATGAAATAAAAGAAGTTGCATTTTAGCAAGCCCTTCAAAGGTTTTTTTTTTTCCTCAAGAGCCTTTCTAGCGTAAGTTTTTTTACAATCAAATCAGGACAGGTAATTTACCTTTTTTTAGGGCTTGAAAAAGTTTGTAAAACAATCTCATGGGAGAATGTGGTATAGGTTGTTGGACAGAGGAGCTATTCATAAAGAATTTTCCTCTGTTCTCACAACAGTCCCATAAGGTACAATAAAGGAGAGTGGCATCATGCGGAAAAAAGATATGAATCAAATCTTTTCGGCAGAAATCCAATTACAAAAAAAACTGGGTGAGAGAGATTTATGAATTGATTTCATTGATAAGTACTGTACTTTGCTTGATGATAAAATTCTGCCACTGGTGTTTCATTACTCTGGCCATACAGAAAACATATTCTGATGTCACAACTATCATGGGGTTGGTCTCTACAGTTTGGTCCCAATTAATGCTGATCATGAATAACACAAAATTGTTGCATTATTTGAATTCACACTATTCAAAGTGATATTTCAATGGAAAATATGTTAATTGGTTTCAGCTTAACCTTGCCAAAATAGGGTAACAAACTTAAACAAAATTACTACATATCATTCCTATCCATGGACAAAAGTCAAGCTAGAGCATAAGCCCATATCCAAAGCGTACCTGCTATCTCCTATATTCTGCTCTGGTTCTCCAAAATGAGCCCCCCCCTTTTTTTGACCTTTCCCCAAACAGAACCTCTCTTTTTCTTGTTGTGTAATTAGTTGTACACAACAACTAGCATCAAAAACCACAATGGCGATGGTGTGCACACCAGGCTCACATTAACTGAATTTTGACTTTCATTAAACGCAACCTGGTATCAATTGACAATTTGCACTAAAATCGAACATTGCACTATTCGAATTCACACTAACCGTGACCTACCTCTATGTGTGCCTGTGTGAATCCGCCTTTAGATCTGCCAAACAACAGAAAAGTGAAAAGCTTGTGTAATGACTCCTTGCTTTGCTGCGTCACTGCAGGTTCTTGAGTTCATCTGAACTTTTCAACTCTTCCTGAGAACCGAGCTCTCTAATCCAAACTCTCTAATCCTGCCTCACCCTCCCAATGTACCCTCTTGAGGGTTCTAATAATTACATCTGCCCGTTGTAATTTCTATAATGTGATAGATGGTAAGAAGCACCCAATGGTTACATATGTCCATGAAATATTTCTTTCAGGACAGAGCTTTCTAGTACGTCCATCCATAGGTTTTCTAAATGAGAGCCTTTTATTCATTCGACCATTGTAGGTTTGTTTGTTTGTTGTTTTTACAGATGCTGGGATATGCATCTTACGTATGCCCTATGGCTCATTCAAGGTCCCGTGGTGGTTTCTATTGCAGTAAGTCTATTTCACAGCTAATTCCCCAGATAAACTCTCATCTATTTCCCCACTACTAAGTTATAGCAATATCTGTTGTGGTCCTGAGATGTTACCTAGGATAAAGCTTGTATGCTCAGTGATGGCTGGGTGATCCTAGAACAGTGGTCCCCAACCTTGGCAACTTTAAGACTTGTGGACTTCAACTCCCAGAATTCCTCAGCTGGCTTAGTCTTAAAGTTGCCAAGGTTGGGGACCCCTGTCCTAGAAGATGTAATAAATAGCTGGTGGAGGAATGGGGTGTGTGTAGTGAAGAACTACCTCCATCTCACTTGTGCTTCCTTGTTTTGCAGATCAATTTCATTCTATTTGTTAATATTGTGCGGATTCTGATGAACAAACTTCGATGGCCAGATGGAAGAGGCAAAGACTCCAGCCAATACAAGTAAGGAGGCCTCTTTAACCAGCCTCACAAATAAACGCAACAACAACAAAAAATGACCAGAGGGCAAATGTTTTCTTTGTTTGCATGTCATGGATCTGTCTAGGGAAGCTGCCTCAAGGATAATTACCCCATTACAGGGAAAGGTGCTACACCTATCTATGTTTCTATTTAAGGCACCTGTTTTTGTGCTCACTTATGTTATTAGGAGCAGAGAGAAAAAGAGGACACGGAGTTCCAGCTATGTAACAGAAAACCTCAACTCTTGCTAGGAGGTTAAAAGTCAAGTGTGCACCATAATACTGTAGGAGGGGATGAACCCACCTTGTCAACATCTTTGGGGGAAATAGGAAAAGAGGTTATTCAGGAAAGACAGAGTTTCCATAACTGATATGTTCATCATCAGAAACATGTAGGAAAACAGGAGAGCAAATTTTGAGAGGCAAATCCCTATTATATGTAGAGTTATCTTGTGGCTGCCCAGAGTTATCCTGTGGTAAGATAAGTGGCCAATAAATTTATTTATACATATATATTTTGCACAGTTGGGCAATCCTTCTGCAGTCACCCACAGGACAGGTTTCTCAACCATGCATTATCCTGATGTACTGTATTGGGCTACCATTCTCATCAGCATGGGCACTGGCCATGTCATTTAAGTGGCAACCTTACACATTGGGATGGTCCTCTGCTAGCATAGACCCAGTGCTTTTTTTCTAAAAAAAAAAAAAAGGTGCCGGAACTCATACACGTCATACAACCCGCCTTGCCTACCCTACAAGGTTCCATCCAAAAAAGGTGCTGGAACTCCATTCTGGGCGTTCTATGAGAAAAAAAAGCCCTGCATAGACCTATCTGTATCCCAAAGCCAACATTAATCTAGCCCTCTTTTTGTTGTTGTTGTTGTTGTTGTTGTCATTCTCTCTTTCCTTGCTCCTAGGAGGCTTGCTAAATCAACACTGGTGCTCATCCCTCTCTTTGGAGTCCATTACATTATTTTTGCTTTTTTCCCTTTTGATACCACAAATGGCACCATGGAGGTTCAAGCTTTGCTTGAAAAAGCCCTAGGATCTTTCCAGGTAAGAGGAGTATATAGATCCCCTGGTGAAAAATTCCTTAGATATTTAAATTAGGATCTCAGAAAATGCACATGAGCACAAAGATAGTGAAACCACCTTCCCCAAGCTGGTAACTCTTAGATGTGTTACGATTACAACTTCTAGAACGGTGTATGTTTGGGGGAGGCTGGCCTACCATCTTTACAAATTCACGCTCAAATTAGTACTGATATAACTCCTATCTTCTGAATGGTTATTTTATGCTGTTTTTGTTTCAAAGCTCCTTAAATGATTATCAGCATTACTGGCAAAGGCATTTTTGTAAGCAGAACACATGGGATGCTGCAAACCTCCAGCAGGTTCAACCTAAACCTCTCCTCATCAGCCTTGGTCTTTGGAACCATCTAAGCTGCAAAGAAATCTCCATTAACCATGTGCATCACAGTTCAGTGTGATTTTTTTTCTTAAATGACATTCCATCTTCCTTCTGGAATGGCAGTCTGCCATGTGTTATTGTGTATTTCATAATGAATAATTTGCTTGTTTTGTTTCAGGGTTTGGCTGTGGCTGTGCTTTACTGTTTTCTTAATGGAGAGGTAAGCTTCCCATGGACTGAGATTTAGTCATGAACCCTGCTGGATAAGATCAAACGTTTGTCTAACCCAGCATCCTGTTTCCCATGGCAGCCGACCAAATGCAGGACTGGAGAACAATAGCACTTTTCATCATAGGTTCCCCCATCAACTAGCACTCAGGAGCATACTATTTCTGATATTGAGATGCATGTAATATGTAGCCTTTACAGCTAATAGTCATTGATAGCTTCACTCTATGTAGTTTTGAACATTTTATTCTTATCTGTTCATCCTCATAAAAGGAGAACATGCAGCAAAGCTACTAATCCGTATATAGGGCAATAAGAGGAAAGAATCCTTATGAATCTAGTTTAAGTCCTTGTTCACTCATGGCACTGAATCGTGGGTTACCAACCCAGTGTCCATGGGCATCGGTGTGCCTCTTGGGCTCTGTGTTTTACCTAATTTTTATTTTATTGATTTTGATCCTTTTAATAAACAAAATAAATGGGAGGTTAGTACTGTATATTGCAAACTAAAGCGTCCATCTCAAACATCAGCTTTATTTTATTTTCAACTTTCACACTTATCCCAAAACAGCTTTAGAAAATAAAATCAGCCAGAGATAGAGTCCACTTGTTCAAGAAAAAGAAACACATGGAAATGATGGTGATCTTAAGGAGGCAGAGGTGGCGGTTATTGGAGCATTCGGTTTCTTCTTGGTCATAGAGTTACTATTGTTCCCGCCACCAAAGTCATTTTGTGAAAATGCCCTAAGATGCTTTCAAAATTCCAGATAGCCCAGCAGAGTTCAGGACTTTTGTGGGGGTTGTGTGTGTGTGTGTGTGTGTGTGTGTGTTGTGTTTTCTGTCATCTGGAAATTTGTTAAGTTTCCCTTCTACTTGAAAAAAAAAGTGACACGCAGCTTTTCTCAAGGGCAAGGAGGCCCCTTGGGAACAGGATGAGAAGCAAGAGTGCAGTTTTTCTAGCAATTGACAACTCTCTTTATTCCTTCTCCCCCCACAAATGTGGCAGTCAGTTCCAAGGGTCAGCTAAGAAAGAAGAGGAGGAATGATTTCTGATACCCCTTGCCAGCTTCCCACAAGCAACATCAATGTGGAAGCCAGCAGGAAGTGGGAAGTTGCTCCCATCCCCACTCTTGTTGTTTTTTTGCCACCCGTGGTCATTCTGTCTCTGCTTAAATAAGAAAGTATCTTGGAAAGGATGATCCAATGGATCATGAGTTGTCAAGTCTTTAAAATCTTTACAATACAGTGCCATTTGTCTTGTTACCTCAGCCCATTCTTCTTCTTGTTTCTTCACCACATTTGTCCATTTATTGGCCTTTCCGATCTTTCTTTCCCTTTGTTTCCCCCTTTTCTACTTGCATACCCACGAGACTAAAATTAATTGTCTCTGCCCACATTTTGGCTTTGTTTCCTTCCTCTGCAGGCAAGTAGTGGCTGACCACATATCATCAGGGCAGAATGTTGCTTGGGAGTGATTTATCCTTGTTACTGACTGCAAAGGTTGAACCCACATGGTGAACAGGGAGAGGGCGTCCTCTTTCTCTCAAGAAAATCATGAACCTTCTTACTAAACTGAAACTTTTTGTTCAGGTCCGGCAGGAGCTTCAGAGAAAATGGTGGCAATGGCACTTAAAGAAGCATCTTGGTACTCATAAGCATCACAGCTCTTCGTTTCCAAATGAAGTAAGTGTGCTCACTCAAGTCTTGCCACTGACAAAGCCTGGTCCTCAGGAGGAAAGACGACCTTCTCACCCAATTCTGAGTAAATTGTAAAGGTTTCCAGGGCAGACAAGAACATGCTAATTACTCAGAGGAATCTAGAAACTTGCATTATCTAATTGGGCTTTGTGGTTTAGGACTTAACCACAATACCTGGAGTCTGACTTAGGCTATGGCCCAAACCTTGCTATCATATGGATTATTTTGCAAAGAAGATATGTGAAAAGTAATTTCCAAATGAAAAGCTCATCCCTCCCAACTCGCTGATTTTGTTCTTTGGAATCTTATCATTTCAAAAGAGTATACCCTCTCTTATCTGTTTGGTTCCTTATTGAAGTATGGATTCTGAACAATATTGTCATTTGGACATATGACTCTGACTTATAAACTGATTGTATATCTTGGGAAAATGCTGCATTGTGTGAACATGATAGAGTGTACGTTTTTTGGCAAAGAGAAATAATATCTCTTTGGTATGAAGCCCTTTCCCACAATTGTTCAAAGGATTTTGTTAGGCGCTGTATACAAATTTGCTGTTTAGGGAGTCTTGGCAATTCAGTTGCCACAAAGGCCTTTAGTACTTTCTCTTGAGAGCTGATTGTGACTCTGTCTGACTTGGGGCTGCCACCTGGAAGCCAGATAAAAACAATCCACTGGAGGAGAGACTGCTATGTATCTTCAATTCATCTAAGACAGAAGCTGGATTAGGAAGATAACATATCTCAATAATATGAAAGGTTGCTTCTCTCTTTGATCAGTTTCCAACCATTGTTTCTTGTCCTGCTCTCTGGTGCTTTGGTGAATAACGTGACCCCCTCTTCTTTGTGGCAGCCCCTCAAATACTGGAATACTGCTATCATGTCTCCCCTCTTTCTTTCCTTTAGACTAGCCAAACCCAAGTACTGCAGCTGTTCTCCATATGTTTTAGTCTCCAGGCCTTGGATCATCTTAGTTGCTCTTCTCTGAACTTTTTCCAAGGTCTCAACAACTTTTTTGTAGTATGGTGACCAAAATTGGTTGCAGTATTCCAGGTATGGTCTCACTAGAGTTTTATAAAGCAGTACTAATACTTTGCATGATCTTGATTCTATGCCTCTGTTTATGCAACCCAGGATTGTATTAGATTTTTTGCTGCTGCTGCACATTGCTGACTCATAGTCAAGTGATCGCCCACTAGGATTTTTGAGCCAGGTCTCACCTAATCTGTACTTATATCTTTGATTTTTCCTGCCTAAATGTAAAACTTTGCTTTTCTCCACATTGAAACTCATTTTGTTGGATAGGGCCCATTGTTCCAGTTTGTCAAGATCTTTTTGAATCCTGAGCTTGTCTTCTGGGGTGTTGGCTATTCCTGCCAGTTTAGTGTCATCTGCAAATTTGATGAGTTCCCCCTCTATTCCCTTGTGTATGCTTAGCTTTCACTCAGTAAAAACATAAAAATAAATCAACCCCATTCTCCCGTAGTTTAATGCCCAAAGTATAATGTCAACAGTTCTGACAACTATGACCCAAGACCCTCTACTGAGAATCTCAAATAACTTAAAAGAGAAAGGACACATTTTAAAAAAAATTGTACAAGCAAAATGGGAATACTGTCAAAACTTACTCTGGGCTTTTCTCCTCAAAGTACCTGCACAAACTCTCAATGGAGAATTGCTATATATAGCAAACATAACTGTGTTGTGTAGCCTTATAACTCTCAATTATAAATATACTATATGATTAACCCTGGTGACTCCTAAAAGTGATATATTTATTTCTTGTGCAACACCAATGAAATCAATGGGGGGGGGAAGAGGGGGAAATCACACAAATTAGTCATTTTAAGATGCTGCCAAGTTTGAGAACCAGACCTTTGAGGTGGCTTGATCCATCCATCCATCCATCCATCCATCCATCCATCCATCCATCCATCCATCCATCCTTAAAGCATGAAAACCAGCTTGGTGACTTTGAGCTAGTCACTCTCTCTCTCAGCCTAATGCTCTTCACAGGGCTGTTGTAGGGAAAATAGGAGGAAAAAGGAGTATTGTGTGGGTTGGTCATCTTAAGATATTTATAAAAATAGTAAAGGCGGGAAATAAATTTATCTCTCCGAGTAGCCTCTGGCTATCTGTTCTTGTGCCACAGGATCTTTATGGTGCCCCTATCTTTGCTGGATTGGTTGCAAGATTATTAGTGGCTTTAGGCTCTGTTAATCTTTTTGGATCCTATCTGGAATGTCATGTACCATTGTTTTGTTGTTAGAATGTTATGTTGGCATACTTGGCTACCTAAACAGAAATTCAAAGTAAAACAACTTGTTTGTTAGCCCCAGGTGAGAGATCAGTAAACAGACCCCAAGATAGGGAAGGGGAAGGGCTGTCACATATTTTCCCAGCATGCTTAGATGGCTCTCTGTCCTGATAATAATACGGAGCTCCTGGACTAATTAAAATTAGGGTTTTTCTTAATTCAACCTGGTCATTCTTAAGCTTTGCCTTGCATCAAACTTTGAACTAATGGCAAGAAGCATTATCTATGTCAGTTTAGTTCCGGCTATGCTTCCATCTTGTGTGCTCACCTTCTCTCCACCCACCCACCCCCTTTTGTGAGTGTGTGCATATAAACATGCATACTTTAATATGTACACTTGGGAGACAAAAAGTCTGAGAGCACTAAATAGCTATTAATACCAATATTCCATACGTCATTTTTGACATGTCTCCGATTATTTTGAAGCTATCCTTGACTTATGGCCATTTGTTTAGTGACTGTTTGAAGTTACAACAGTACTGAAAAAAGTGACTCACAACCAGTCATTACACTTACAACCGTCACTGTCCCCATGATCACATGATCGCAGTCCAAGCATTTTACAACTGGCTCACATTAACAATAGTTGCAGCATTTTGGGGTGTGTGTGTGTGTGTGTGTGTGTTACATGATTGCCATCTGCAACCTTCCCAGATGAATTCCAAGTGAAGGGGGAAACTGGCAAGGAAGATCCCAAATCACAATCATGTAATGTCTGGCTTAATGGACATGGCAAAAAATAAATAAAATCATAAAATCAGGTGCAGTCACGTGATACCTCACTTAATAACCGCATCACTTAATGACAAATATTCCAATCCCTATTGTGGTTGTAAGTTGAGTGCTATATATACTGATGAATTATTACGATTTACAATTTAAATAATTACTATCTGAAAAGCATGTCTTGGTTGGATTTGATCAACGCATAACATATCTTGCCGCCAAACCCTCAACTTCATGCCATTCAAGATATTGAATTTCTATTAGGCACGAATAAAGGCAGCACCCTCCAGCAATGATTTATCCCTGGAAGGTAAATATCCCCACCATGTGGTATACCTGGATCACTATTATTTTTTTTTGAAGGTCAGTCCTTACTTGTGGGATCATCCCATTCAACAATTACGTACCATGCAAAGCTGAAAGCAGTAAAATATGGCAGTTGTTTCTATAATCTTAGCTTTATTTTTTAAAAAAATCATCTAGTCATTCTAGGTTTAGAAAAAAGTCAGGATACACTTTGGATAAATACCTCATTCGGAAGTGTTTTAATTCTGATAGTCTAATGCAGAGGTCCCCAAACTTTTGGGCACCAGGGACCGGTTCCGTGGAGAGAGGATTTTTCGCGCACTGGAGAGTGCGTGATTTTGTGTGCTGCCTGCATCTTACGGATGGGGCTTTTCTTGTTTGTGCGGCCCAGTTGTTGGCATGCCGCGGCCCGGTGCTGGTCCACAGACTGGAGGTTGGGGACCCCTGGTCTAATGGCCAAGTACATTGCATCTCATTTCTGCACGCTATCAATGTAATGAATGTCTGTTCAAAATTCTTAAGTTACTTCCCTTTTTCAATTTTGGCAGGTTTGTGCAGCAAAGACATTACCAGTTAAAACCTATTTTACAAACATTTTTAAAGATCAAATTCTGATTTCTATGAGAATCTTTTCCAGTTCCTTTTCTGTATCATTTAGTGCAAATACTGGGGTGTATGTGTGTGCATATACATTCACATGCATTTGCTACAGTATATGTCTTCCATCTGTGACACTTACAAATGAGCAGAATTATCCATTTTAAAAAAGTAGTTTATTGAACATTTGACATTCTGATCCTGGATATCTTCCGATTTTCTTTTATAGTTTGTAGAAAAGAGTTTAGAAAAGTCCACAAGTTATAACTTACTTAGCAAAACAATTATTAAAGATAAAGAGCACCTAAACAAACACTCTCTGGCATTTAGTGGCAAATGGCCTTTAATAGGACAAAAAAAAGAGAGAGTCAACAGTAAATAGTATTTACAATTCTTTTAGCTCAAAGTTGATCTCTAATGTACTGCAGCTAGATAGTTTTAAAGGCCTAATTTAATCAGAACCATCATTGTTGAAAGGCAAAGATGATAGTCATTCATTTAGCCCATGAGAAGAGAGTGTTCCACCTTCTGAATATGAGCTGAAATTCCAGGCAAAGGATGGAATAATCAGTGCAAGAAAAATTAAACAATACAACAGCAAAGACAGACACTGGCAGTATATCATGCAAGAAATCTGGAAGAATTCCACATCTGTTGTAGTGAAGGCCAACCATTTTGAAAGGTCCAGAGAGATTTATGTTCAGTTCTTTAGCACATTACTTTTTTTTTTTCCAAGACAACTTCAAATTTCTTCACCAGAGACTTGGGAAAACTGTTGAATGAAATCAGCAAGATAATAGACCTCTAGACAAGCAACAATAGAGAATTAGTGCTCCAAACTGGGAAAAACAAACTACTGATTGTACAAAATATTCTCAACGTGAAAACATTGAAAATCCAATCAAGCAAATGTATCTTTCTTCAGGTTCATACAATTTAATTTATACAGACTACAAAACAATACAGGTAGATATGATTTGCTAATTGCAGGTCACCCCTCACCCTGGGAAAGATCTGGAGATACTTCATAGTAGTAATGTATCATGTTCTTCAACTGTGCAAAGTCTAACTGTTCATAAGAGGTAATAATAAAAACGCAAGTTGAATGACATGCCAAGATCTTCCTAAAGGACAATCTTTTTTTGGTCATGGTAAACATATAAAAGTATATACTATTAACTTGGCTTGTGAATCTACTGTTTCTACCATAACCTGTCAAGTTAATTATTAAGCACACTCTTTCTATTTGGGGTCCTTTTTAATATATTGCACTACAACTCCCATTGCCCAAAGCAGTCTATGCAAGACTAGCTGGGGTTAGGCATTTAATATGACCCCACCAGATTTGCGGAAGCTTGTCTAGACTGCTAACATACTGGCTTTTTATTTCCAAGTAAATGGCTTGAAAACATCTTCAAAGGTTTTAGAGAAAAACAGAATAATTAGAGCATTCCTAAATAATCTTACAGCCAGCTGTAAAAACACAAATATAAATAAGAATTAAGAGAACCTAGAATTCAATCAAGCATGCAGCTTTCTTGAAATAACACTGGTTCTCTCAAAAACGATGGTTCAGTGCAGTGTTTCCATAGGCAATTTGACATCTGTGCATTTCTTAGGCTGACTTTTTGTTGTTGTTGACAATAATCAACAATTTGGACTGATAATATGGGATATTTAGAAGTAGAAAGTTCATAGGGGTGGAGTCAAACATTTATAATTTTAAAAATGATAACTGTCACGAGTTTATGGAACTTAATGTATTATTATTATAGTAAAATATTGTGAAACTACGTATACAGAGGACACAAGTTGTTACTGAACAATAGAGAACTAAGGCTCTAAACGTACACCAAATCTGATTTACAATTTATTTCATTCATACCATAGGGAAGTCTTAGGGTTGAAATCATACAAGCTATATGTCAAAAAAGAAGTATAGGAGCCTCCTTCCACTTTTACCAGTATATATGTGCAAGTAATGGGCTGATCCTATATTCTTAGCTAAGAATGTACTTTTAAGAAGGATTAGAAACTTACTTTTCTGTAATTTTGAAAAGCAGGAAGTAAATTGAACAGGGCATTTTGTGTTACAAACTCTGTGGTTAGAAATACACAGAGTTGAGAGATCTCTGTGAAAAATTATTTCTAGCTCACAGAGAGGGGCCGAGTCTCCACTGTCATTCATTAAATTGTAATAGCCCAGGCCTTTTTTAAAAAGATGTTGCTTCTCAGCAATAAAGGATCTTACTTTGGTAGAAAATGCACACCGTGCTGGCATGGTTTATAAATATCATATATTTGCCAGAGAATATATGATAAAAGCACTACTTTTAATCGTGGCTTATATATATGACAATGTGAAAAGGCAAGTTACTATATTTGTGTTTATTAGAAAATGAGGTTCCAGTTGGTACTGCCCTTTGTCCTCCATAGTACAAATATTTCTGGCGATCCAAATTACTCATATGAAGAACACAACCATGAAAATGCAGGGTATGAACAAAGCCCATTCACAGAGCATCTCTTATTCTACTTGGCTATGGAATTTGGTCCCCACCTCCAACCCAAATAAAAATAATGTGATTGGTTGTCTTACTCATTTCAGTGAGACACTTAAAAGATAATGACTGTAACTGGACTAAGGATGTTGAGGCTTAGGAACTGAGTTTTAAATTAAGCAAGTTATCTTTTGCTATTCCATTACTATGGCTAGATGCATTATTTAAAACCCCAACAGGTTATAATTTCCCATTTCCAGTACTCAGCATCCATTATCAACTTAATTTGGAGACATCCTCTAGAAAGTGGCAAGCTGTTGGAAATCTTTTATGCTAATATGTGTGTGTGTGTGTGTGTGTATGTATGTATATATATACACACACACAAACATATATATCTCAAAATAAACAATTCCCCTTTCTCGAATGTTAATGAGCTGCAATATATTCTCGGGATATTTGGTTGAGCTGCTGTTCATCATGTTTAATTTTTCTCACTCTGCTCCATGGCAATGTTAGGTTGTTAAGGTGAAGTCCACTGATTCCATTAAGGAAGAAAAGGAACGTTGCAATAAATTCACACCAATAGGTTAACGTAAAACTTAGGATAGTGATGTAGTCCCTCAGGAGGATTAAGAAGCTCACCATTCCAGCTGATGACAGTAGAAATGAGGCAAGAATGAGGATGGAGCCCATGGACCATTTTCTCCTTGAGTTGATATCTTCGCAGACTTGAGAGACCATGAGAAGTTCCAGGCCAAAGATTGCAACAACAACGGCAAAAGACAACGTGCTTCTTATGAAGATCATTCCTGTGCTTATCCCTCTGATGTTGGTCAAAGCGAGATCAGTGGTACATTTCAAGGTGCTGTTGCTTCCGAGGGTACAGAAATGCCAGAGCCCAAAGAGTTTTCCTTTTGTAAAAAGCCAATGGCCATCACATACTGCAATGGACAACAGGACAATGGCAATTGCAACACAGAGGATAATTAAGCTCCTGATAAAGGTCTCGAAGAATGATTTCTTTGGTCTTCTACGAGTAAGTAACCACTGGGTCTTCAGGAGAATTTCCCAAAGAAGGAACAGGAAAAAGAAAAAGAAACAAACCTTTAGTTCAGGTGAAACAGAGCGGGGTTTTTTTTGTTAAGAGCTGCACTGCCTTGGGATTATCTTTTGAAAGCCACAGTGCCTGTGATGGCTGGAACCAAGACAGAGAGTAGCTGTGCAGCCAAAACCCAAAGGGAGTCAGGCCATGTATATTCTACCAATAAAGGAGAATATTTGTAGCTCAGAGTTGGCATGAGGGGGTCTTTGGTGCTCTCTTGGTTGTTTTCTTGTAGATATTTCATTACCCAAATCAGGTAACATCACAGTGCACGGTTATGATACTTACTTTGGGTAATGAAACATCTGCAAGAAGACAACCAAGTTCAGAGAACACCGAGGACCCTACATGCATATTCACTTTCTAATGCCCCCTTTTCTCAGATTCTTTATCTTTCTATACTTTCTTTCTCTCTGTCCCTTGGGGTGGCAGGGCACCATGCTCTTAGCAAAGATCTAAATTGCCCACTTGCTGAGTTTCTGAAAACAACAAACCGTGACTTTTGGCATGCCAATTAATACTATCAGTGAAGTCAACTAAATATGCTTTAAAGACCATTTATACACAGTTGATCTGAGAGTGCCTTGGGAAGAATGCATGCTGTTTAAACGATATTAATGTATTCCCATGAATTCTATAGAATAAAAACCCTAGTAAATGTTCCATTAATTTTTCTATGGAAATGTAATATTTGGAAATAAAGAACATTATCTGTAATTTGTCACTGCCAAGGAAATTAAACCGAAACAGTCATTTTAACATGACTTCCTTCTTTGAATTTTTTTGTACACACATCCTGACAGGCCAACTATTCAAAGAAGTCTCAAGATACAACTTTTAATACCAGAGGATATAGCTAGCAGCACGCATTTTGCAAACAGAGCTGAGACTGATTCTTGACACTCAGAGGAAATCCTCCCCCCACCCCACTACAAAATAGGCTTTTAAACTCTTTGTGGGTAGCACAGATCAAATCTATTTACCGAAACGGATTTTCTTATTTTCAGGCAGGCATTTCTGATTCACACGGTTGCACTAGCTGTTTGGCTTAAGACTCTGCTACAAATATCCCAAGGAAACATTTTAGCTTGACTCTCAGAGACTTAATCTGCCTGCCCAATTTGGTCTGCAGAGCCTCATACAGGACCAATGCTTTCCCCCTACAACCTGGAGGAAGAATAACAGCACAGAGGCAAAACTGGGGAGAGTTGGCACCATCCAATTCACTTTTGTCCGTCTGCTGCTTTTCCCCACTGAAAGGGAACAACAGGAAATAACGCTGCAGGATTAGACATGTTTTGCCTTTCCTCATCACAATATCAAGGTTCGACTTTCCCCTCTTGTGAAAATAACCTCAGTACATTCTGAGTCCCAGCAGTTTTGACTATCTCATGTATCCACCCTGGTGTCCTCCAACTATGCATATTTATTTCACTTACAGTAGGACTTTCTTCATTTTTAATCCATAAGAGCTACCTTGTGAGGTAGGTTGAGCTGAGTGGCAGATGTAGAATCGCCCAATAGGTTTCTTTGGCTAGAAAATATCAGAACCTGGATCTCCCTGGTTCTAGTCCAACAGTTTGACCACTATACTGTGCTGGGTCTTGATGTTTCTCTGGCATCAAAAAGTAGTTAACCATAAAGGGACAAATATAAAGCACGAAACCATAGCCCTTGTTATAATGCATGCTGGCAGAGCCAAAGAAGCAATCCTTCATTCACTATTTTTCAATTGCTTTCCCTCATCTGCATAATACTGTATTGTACTCGTTTTGTAATACAGGTTTGTCCTCAACTTTCAACCACAGCTGAGCCCCAAATTTCCATTGCTAAACAAGACGGATACTTTGCCCCCATTTTATGTTCTTTCTTGCCACAGTTGTTAAGTCAGTCACTGCGTGTATGATTAAGTTAGTAACAATTTGGCTTCCCCATTGACTTTGCTTGTCAGGTCGCAAAAGGGAGGTCACATGACTTCAGGACACCACAACCATCATGTATGCCAGTTGCCAAGCATCCGAATTTTGATCACGTGACCATGGGGCGGCTGCAATGGGTTATAAGTGTGAAAAATGGTCATAAATCACTTTTTTTCAGTGCTATTGTAACTTTGAACGATCACTAAACAAATGGTTGTAAGTCAAGGACTATCTGTATTCTTTATATTTGACAAGCAACAGGCAGGAAACACCTTAATTCTGAAGGACTGTAGTTTAAGACAGGACAGGGAACAACCCCCCCCAAAAGAAGAAAACAGTTAGAATAGCAAGAAAGAATAAGCATTACCCCACCTCATGCGGTTTTGCTCATAACATAGCAGTATTGAGGCAGAGAGAAAAATCTCAAAGCTTTCAGAACTGGTGAGTTTGAGGAACTGGGTTTTTTTTAAAAAAAATAGTTTCTGGCATCAGGGACATCAAGGGAGAATTCATTTCAAAATGTCCAGGATCAATGGAGTTGTAGAGAGTAATGGCGCCAGGAAGAGATGTGCTGGAATATCAGCCTGGAGAGATGAAGCAATAGAAGGCTTTACAAGGATAAGGAACCTTTGCAAGGTCTATATGGATGACACTTCTGAGTCAGCTGCTCAGTAGGCAATTCACTCACTCCAGGTCTAGCACCACTTGATCGTGGATGCTCTCTTGGTGGACATTTTTGAAGTCATCCAGCTATCGTGGTTTTTTTTTTTTAAAGCAAATGATCACTTAAAACAACTGTGGGGATTTACTTATCCTATCCTCTTCTGCTTTTTTCTTACTTTCATTAGACAGCTAAGTGGGGGTTTAGCTCTGAATAACTTGGGACTTAATTCCAGCTAAAATTAATTCTCTTTTTGGCATTAACATTAACTGAGGTTTATTTCACCGTGTTATGATGTTCATATGACCCCCTAATACCCTCTTTGACCCAGTTAAACATGCTGTGTGAACAAGGGCTGAAGGAAAGATACCAGATTCTAAATCTTCAGTGAGCTAAATGGCTGATAGACATAGGTGAATGAAAACAACTGAAGACCAAGAGAAACAAGCAGCAGTAATTGGCAAGCAATGACCAAACTTTGCACCACCCACTATAGCAAAATGGGTAGTTAGTAGCTCTCCAGATATTGCTCAATTAAAACTTCCCCAATTCCCAATCATCATGGTCAATTATGAGGAATGCTGGGAACTGAAGGTCAGCAATATTTGGAGGACTAATGATTTATCATCCTTGCATTTAAAGGTATTGAAAACTCTAATATATATCATAAATGCTAAAGATTAGAAAAATATATCTCAGGTTAATCAGCACTGTCCCATTTCTGAGAAATTTAGCTCTAAAAGTATTGACCAAGAAAAAATCCCTGATTTCCTTTTCACTGAATTGTCATTCCTGTGGCGCAATTTGTTTTGAAAATCCCTCTTGTACAAGCCTTGCTGTGTATGAGCTAGTTTTGCTGAAACATCAGTAATAACATGCCAGCAAAAAACAGATTTGCTGATCTTTGTAAACAACTCATTGCATTCTAAGAAAAAAGAAGGAAACTGAGCAAGTTGAGTTACTTTGCTTCTTGGATGCCCCCACCTTTAAAAAAAAATAGAGAAAGAATATGGAGCATAACTTATTTAATTTGTTCCAAGCTACTTATCAACAATTGTTATAGGAGGCACCTGTGCTTGCTTCTGTGTAATGAAGTAACACGTTCCATCTCTCTGGGTTAGTGTGATTCCTTTCTTAGTTCTTATCTGTGTTTGTGTAATGTCTGCATGAGTGTGTGTGTGTGTGTGCACATACTCTGCTCACATGACCGTGAGAGAGAAAAGGAAAAAGAGCTTAGAATACAATAGTTGTAATCTGTGAAAATACCCAAATGATTATCCATAAGGATGCACAGGCAGTTTGTTTTTTCCTGGACTATTTTTCTTTGCAGTCTTTGGCCAACTCTGGCCCATTTTCAAACTCCACCTTCTTTTGTTGGCTTCCCCTCTTAGATTTAGTCTAACTCTGTTCAATGTTTGGACAGATATCCTCTTGATAAACAGATAGACAATCTCTCTACAGAATTTCTTTCCAACCTTCTGTTGTGTTGGAAACATTTCACTTCGCTTATGCTTCTCCTCGCCCCATCAGTTGGATTTGCATGTGTTTATTTGAATTCCCCTCAGATTATCAGGCGGATGCATATAGGTTGATGTCCCCCGTCCCCCATGCTGCATCTGTCTTGTTTTAGAGTATGTAAGCCTTGGGAAGCATAGGGCAGGCTGTAAATGCTTCTTTCTAAACCACACAACCTTCCATCTTGAAAGAGAGGATGCCTAGTTTTGTTTGCCTTAATTGCTCTGCCCTGGGTCACATGACTAGGAGAGGAGGTTAAGAATGGACTTTAAACAACAGCATTCTCAGCTGCCTCTCCTATAGGGACTATAGGGGATCTTTTTTTCAGGAAGGTTTTCATCCAAGCAGATCTGCTTTCCTTTTTTTGAAACGTAGTATTTTTTTTTTGCTAGCTTCTCCCATCACATCCACCCATTTTTATCTCATTCGGTTCACTTTTGGGAGAACCGCCCGACCAATGGATATGGATGGCCAGACCGTCTGAATGTAAAAATCTTCATATAATAACTAGGGTTGCCAGGTCTGCTTCCAAAAAATAGCAGACAAGCGGGGTGGGTGGGGGTGTTAAGTAGTAAAAAAAAGTAGACTGTACAGCTTTAGATTACGTACCATTTCATCATAAAGCTTTTGAATAAAAAAAAAATGTCCACTATTTTGTGAAAAAAAATAGTGAACATAATGTGAAAAAAGTGGACTGTCCACTCAAATAGTGGACACCTGGCAACCCTAACTAAAACTATCTGTGGAACCAGAGAGAGACAGAGAAAGAGAGAGAGAGAAAGAGTACTGGCACTCTTTACTGAAGCCCCCTCTTCAAACGTGTTTTTTTCCCCCCCAGCCCTAAAACCCTTCTCAAAGCTGTGCAACCCCCATTTGCCGATAGTATATCTCCGAAGGCAGATTTAAAAGTCAACTTCTGGGGAGTGGGAAGAGGGCAGATTGCATGACAAAAGACTTCCAATTTTCCACTATTTGAGCGCTCGGTTAGGGAAACTCTCTGTCTAAAAGAGAAAATGCAACAGTCAGGATTTACGATTTTGGGGTGCAAGGGCTCTCTTCCCTTCCCCACCCCCCCGCACCCCGCGTTTCGAGAGAAAATTTACAAAGAGCAACAGGTGAGAGAGAAGTCCGCCGATCGCCCAGAGGAACCGTTCCGCCTGTAGGACGAAGAGCCAACGCGTACCAGGGAGAACAAAGGACCGGCCGGCACAAGGCTTCCAGGGATGGGAACCCCCCCTGCCCTCCCCAATCTCGCTCCCTGGTCCCAACAAGCGCCCCTTCCGCCCCCAGGACGCGGCCCTCTCCCCTGCTGCCCCCGGGTTACCTGCGCTGCTATGGCTGTCATGGTGACTCGGGCTCCCGGCGGCGGAGGAGGAGGAGGAGGAAACCAGAGGGGAACTTCGCTCCGCTTTGTTCCCGGCGCTGGTTGGAAAAGTCTTCCGCGGCCCTTCCGCGCGCCCCCTTCAGAGCCAGAGGGCTCCGGGCAAGAGATGTGAGCAGAGCGGCCCCCCGGGCAACATCCCCGGGGAAGCGGGCAGGCCGGGCGGCGGAGCGCCCTTTAAGTTTTCCCTCCGGCTGAGTCAGCAGCCCGGCGGCTCCAGGAGGAGGAGGAGGAGGAGGCGGAAGCGGGCAGAAGGCAAAGCGGCGGCGGGAGAGGGGGGGGGGTTGCGAGTGCTCCGGGCAAACAAGGCGCGCCGGGAAGGGCTGCTGCCTTTTGCGCCGACCTCGCGAAATTGAGGGGAGGTCGATACTTAAGATACACCCCCCCCTCTTTTCCCCGCGCGCGCTTCTTCCAAGAAGGCGGTGTTCTCTCTCTCTCCCCCTCAGCGGGATCGAACCAGTTCCTTCCTGAACCCGAGATTTGCTAAGGTTCGCACCGCGCTGGGCTATAAAGGGAGCGTGTTGACCCCGCTGCACGGTTGCCCCAGTTTGACTTAATGTAAGGGTGGCTGTTTTGGGGTTAGCGGGTCAGTGGGTCACTCCGACGTCGAGTTTGTGCTGCATTGTCAGTAGCTGGAAACCTTGATTACCGACAGGAGTGGAACTCGGGAACCTGAATTAACCTGATCGCCTGAGCTTGCACAAGAGCCGGCGAGCTAACCACACGATGAGTGGGTTATGCACAATAGGCTGCCGCAAAGAAAACAAACAAAAACATTTGGGCAAAGTTAAAACTCATCAAGATTAATCCCTTATGGCTTATGCAAATACAGGCAGGATGTTGCAACGCCTGAGTAGCATCTTATTTCCTGGATCCCACTAAAGAATTGCAGGGCAGTGACGGACGCCCACTGCTTATCCTTCTTTAAAAGCAGATGAAGAAGAGGGTTAAAGGCCAGCAGAATCGAGGCTAGAATAAGTCCACAACACCCCCCCCTCCCCCAAAAGTTTTCATCTTCTTGTAGTCAGACTCAGCTGCTTGTAATCATATAATCAATGTATGTTGACTTTCTGGTGACAAAGCCAAAGGCTTCCAAAACAAGGAAGTCACTAATTTAAAGAGATAAGAGTTTACTGTCCATCTTGCCATCCAGGGATTTTCAGTTTTCCAGACCAGTTTTGGTAACCCCATCCCAATTGTAGATTAATTGGAACATGTGGGAAAGTTTTTGCTTTTTAACTATAATCAGTGACTGGGTTGTGTGAGTCTCTGAAGCACAACCTGGTTAGGTTTTTGTTTAATAAGCTGTTTTGTATAAACCCAGTCTTTCTGGTTAATTTTTGGGTTAGTGTGTTGCACAAGACAGGAAATTGGAGTAATTAAAATATGATAAGGATATCATCAGCTCTGCCCTATCATGCTGATCCAAAATACTATACTTCTTCTTGTGCCATATCCGTTATCGGACGTTGGCGATCATGTTGGCGATCCTGTTTTTATCAGCAGCCGCACGAAAAATGCTGCTGAGTTTTGTCCAAACCAGTCCCTTAGGTTTTGAAGCCATGATGTTCTTCTTCTGCCTGGACCTCGTTTGCCTTCAATCTTTCCCTGGAGGATTAAATGGAGTTTGCCGTATTTTTCTGGGTGTCATATCACATGTCTGAAATATTCTAACTTTCCTTTTTTTATTGTTTTGATGATTTCCCTTGGCTTATACGTAACAGCCACCTGTAAATCCATATTTCAAACGCTTCTAGTCTCTTCAGGTGGCTTTCTGTCAGAGACCAACTCTCTACTCCATAGAGCAGGATAGAAAAAATATAACATCTGACAAGCCTGGTTTTCAATCTTAGGCTTATGTTGTGACTGCAGAAGACCTTTTTCATTTTGAAGAATGCTATTTGAACTTTCTCTATCCTTGTCTTTACTTCAATGGTCATGTCCCAGCTTTCATGTAAATTAGTATACCCACCCCGCAAAATTAGATAGGATAAAGACCCATCTCTCAGTCATTGCAGTACACATTGGAATGTGCTGAAGTTTGTATGATATTTTAGTGGGATGTGTGGCATTGACTCATGGCCAGGAGAAGCAAAGAAGACATCACAAACCTAGTGTTCAATAATGATCAGAGAAATTTCCATTTTCCATTTTTATCAACTGCAGTACCATCCTGAGCACTTCTTGCAACATATGAAAATATTTACTAACAGGAAGGAGGAGGCTAAGCTTGTTATATAAACCTAATCAATTACAATTTATTGAGTAATATGTGGCAAAATAAACCATAGCTTAGCGTTGTGTGTAAATCTAGCCAGAGTTTAATATCTGGCCTCAAATTTCACTGTTGGTGTGATTTGTGTGGTACACTGAATCATAAATTGCCTACAATAATTGGATTCACACCACATCTGAGTCAAAACTAATCTTATATATACTTATAAAAGGGGAGGAGAATTTATTGTTTTTTCTTTTTTTCAGCGTCCAGCCGGGGTGGATTCTATATGTTAAATGTTAAATTTATTTAGTATTTGTATTACCTTTTTCTCTTTTTTTGTACACCATTTTTTTCTTTTTTGTTGTTAGTGATGGACGTATGTTTTTGTTTTGTTTTTCTGTTTTGCATTTTACCTTTTATGATAAAACAAAATAAATATACTTTAAAAAAAACTAATCAATACATTTTAACCCAGAAAATTGCATGAACACAGTTTTCTCTATGAAATCCTGGAATTGTTTTTCATAATTAATGGAATTAAGTTAAACCATAGGTAAAAGTGTCATAAAAACATTGCTAACGCCAATTCCTTTAGCCATTTTTTTCTCGCTTTTGATCCTGAAATTGATCCAGAAAGCTGTGTATTGAACAAGAATAGCCTTCCCAACCTAGTTTTTTCTGAATAATAGTTCCTATGAAACTAAGAGGTAATGGGAGCATATTGCTAGCTAGAGGATAGTTAAGGAAAAGCATTCTGGATAAATTTTGTAAGTGAACTGCCCACAATCCAACTGTGTTTTCCCCAAAATAAGACCTGGTCTTATATATTTTTTTGCTTCCAAAAGAGATACCAGGTCTTATTTTGGGAGGATGTCCTACCTTAAGACCGCCGCAGCCAGGCCTCCCACCTGTGCCGCTGCTTGACTTCTTCAGCAGCTGCTTGCCGCGCTTGAGACCAGATGCCAATTGGCACATAGTGCTGGTGCCGCCGCTTATGGCAGGATATCGCCTAGTGCTTTGGGCTGGTGCCGCCTGCAGCAGGATGCCGCATGGCATTTCGGGCTGCTGCCGCCACTCATGACAGGATGCCGTGTGGTGCTATGGGCTGGTGCTGCCACTTGTGGCAGGAGGCCACACAGCTCTTCAGGCTGGTGCCTCTGCTCACAGCAGGCGGCTTCATGGTGCTTCGGGGTGGTGCCCCCACTTGCGTCAGGAGGTTGTGTGGTATGTTGTGTGGTATGTTGTGCTGTGGTGTGCGTGAACAGTGGCACTGGCGCAAAGCGCCACGTGGCACCATCCTGAAGTGTCACGCGGTGTCCTGCAAGTGGCGGCACTAGCCTGAAACACCGCAGGGCCTCCTTCCGTGAGCGGCGGCACCAGCATGAAACGCCATGCGGTGTCCTACCGGTAAGGTGAGCAGGTGTGGGGCACGTGGGGCAGCTCCACCCCCCCACTCCTGCCCTAGCTTGATTTTTAGGCATGCACCTCGCCCCAAAACTAGGGCTTATTTTGGGGGGAGGTCTTATTTTCAAGGAAACATGGTATATGCCTTAATTTGGGAGAAAAATTCCATGATCTCAGTGTTTATTTCTGAGTAAACAGATACAAATAAGTACTCTCATTTTCAAAAGGGAAAAATAATGATAATTTTGGTGGTTTGGGAGAAATCATGTAAATTGCATCATACTTATATTAGATAGAATTACTATATAAAAATCCCGTAAACAGGTAAAGGGCAACAAAGTTTTAGAGGTTTTTTTCTCTTTGTTGTCATCTAATGGCTGTTATTTGCAGCCTAGAACTACAGTTCTAAAGATCTACTTTAGAAGTCTCTCTAGATTGAAAAAAATTGGGGGGAAAAATCCCCAGAAATTAAGGAGGGAGAGAGAAAAAAAATGGAAAGGTCTGGAGGACAAGGCTTGACTAAAGTGGTAATGGGACCATTGGTTTTTTTTTGCCATCTCTAGTTCTAAGCCAGCTTTTCCAAATCCAACGTTGTTCAGCTATGTAAGACTACCTCTCTTTTTATTTAATCAACTCTGCAATGGTTGGATGAGTATAATCCAATGCAGGTAGTTTTCATCTTACATCCACAATTAGGACTAGAATGTCCATTGCTAGGCAATACAATTGTTAAGTGAGTTAGCTACAATTGTACAACCTTGTTTTGCCATGGTTGTTAAGTGAATCACTGCAGTTAAGGGAAGCACATGGTTAAGCTAGTCCAGCTTTCCCCATTGACTTTGGTGTTGGAAATCAGCTGGGAAGGTTGCAGATGGTGACCACATGATTCCAGGGTGCTGTAACTCTCATAAATATATGTCAGATGCTGAGTATCTCTAAGGATAGATACAATAAAGGATCCCTATACCTATTATTACACATGCTAACAGCAGCAAGATTAGACTTTGCACAGAGATGGAAGGATAATGAGACACCCTCAGAAGAAGAAGTAATAAATAAGATTTTATCCTGTGCAGAAATGGATAGGTTGACATTAGAACTTAAGGATAAGAGTGAAACAGATTATTATGAAATCTGGAATAAATTGTACAATTGGTTGGGGAAAAATAGACGGAAAAACTCTCTGATTCATAGTGAAAATATTAAATGAAAATTTAGAATATAGATGATGGGACCCACAAGAGAGAATATTTAAGAGAAAAAGAGACATTTGTTGGAATATGTGGATTACGAATTATAGAAATCAATTGGTTTTTTTTATAAAAAGTTTTTTATTTATAATACAGTTAAAACAAAGATGGACATAATGTG